ATTGATTGGAAAACAAAATTATGCGTCTAATCATACGATGGTGCTGCAACTATGCAAGGGGAGTACTCAGGACTACGTTCATATATTCAAAATGAAACCCCAAAGCAATTTATGTGTGGTGTTTTGCCCACTTACTTAACCTAGTTATTGTTGATACATTGGATTCTACAACTGATACAAAATTATTTTTTGGAAACTTGCATGGAATTGTAACATTTATGCGAGCCAGGAAAAGAACTGCTATATTTTATGAATGTCAAAAAAAAATTAAATATTGGATCTAAAGCTAAAGATAGAATTCGAAAAATCAAAAATTTCTCAGATACACGATGGACGTCCCATGATCGTGTTATTACAGTAATACATGATAAGTATAAAGCTATAAAAAATACTTTAAAATTGCTATTGGAATCCATAGATAAAGTAACTGCTTCAAATTCAAAATAGTTTTTATTAATTATTTCTTCATTTCATTTTTTATTGGTTCTTAAGCTAATGAAAAGTATATTCGCAATAACTACACCAACTTCATGTTATCTGCAATCAAAAAGCATTGATTTTATTCAAGCCATATTGGTAGATGAAACTAAAAAAAAGATTATCAGAATTGCGTTCCGACAAATGTTACCGAGAACTTGTACAAAATACCAAACAATTTACTTATGAACATAATCTCTGTGAAAATGATTTTAAAAAACTCCGAACGAGGAAAACCAATAGAATGCCTGGATGAAATGTACAAGATGAAATCAGTTCCTCAGCATCAGACAGGTTAATAAATTATTTAGAATTAAAATAATACTATTATTAAATTGTTGAATGTGTAACTTTTATTATAAATTTAGAGTGAACATATATTACAAATGTTTGGACCAAATGATTTCATCTTTAGACAATAGATTTAGTAATGCCAGAGATATACTGAAAGATCTTGCATTACTATCCCCAGAGCGGTTAATTGAAGCTAAACATAAATCTGAAATGAATCTTCCAGATAATTTCTTTTTATATTAGTCTACATGGATTACTGATATTAATCCATATCAACTTAAAACAGAGTATTTATTATTTAGTAAAAGCTTAAAAGAATTGATTAATGGAATGAAATTTCCAGATAATCAATCTAATAAATTATCCGATATTGACTCTGAAGTGGATTCATTAGAAGATGAACATCAAAATATTGTGAGTGAACCAAAATAGAGCATAACACTTGCAAATATACTAAATGTTCTTTCAAGTCTTGATATTATGAGTGCTTTTCCAAATTTGTATTGTGCTTATAAAGCATTATGTACAATTCCAGCCTCAGCTGAAAGAAGCTTTTTAAAGGTATAATAATTATATTACAATTTTTTCTGTAAACTGATAATGGTTAAATTCTAACTTTGTTTTATTTAGGTTAAATTGATCAAAAATAGACTTAGGTCAACAATGTCCCAACAGAGGTTGGATAGTTTGATGTTGATTTCTTGTGAAAGAGACATACCAATAGATATTAATGAAGTTATAAACAAATTTGGATTGTCATCAAGTGTATTGAAAAAAGAATTAATGTTTGGATAATTTTAATTGAAAGGATGCTCACCGGCTTATTGTACAATATATCGATGATAGGGACTTATATTCATTTAATTAATAAAGCAGTATTTCTGTAATTAATAAAAGTTATTTTTATTGTGGTACCCGTAAGATCAATTTTCAATAAGGCAAATTTGATATAGAATTTTGATAGAGAGTGTGGGGGGCGTAGCCCCCCACGGCCATGTGCAAATTTAATGGGTGGGTCGTGTGTACTGCAACTAACATTTTCTTGCCTTACTGTCGAAAAAGTTCGCGCCGCCACTGCTTAGGCCCCTGCATACACTACAAATTAACAATATTATATTATAACTAGATGACCCGGATATACGTTGTTTTGTCATTATTTTGTTTTATTATTTTGAAAAAAAATAACTAATTTAATATAAGTGTGTAAGGAAGTTGTATATAAGTGGAAAAGGTATGGAGTGCTGTGAACGGTGACGGAATATAAAAATGAAAAAACATCAAATATTTATTATTTTTAATAATTTATTAAAATTGATTCTTTAAAATTATATATATCGCTAATTATGACAATATAAATAAAAAACAATATCAATCCCTTAATGCAACAGAGTGTACAATATTTTTTGTTATCCCATATTTCATCAACACAAACAAACTGGATGGTTCGAGAGCACGCCACGTTAATTGTCCGGGTGAAAAACATAATGTGCTCAAATCTAAGCCACAGACAAATATCATTTGGCCTTGAGACTTAATGATAGTCATTGCAAATGCCAATCTAATAGAAAATTGAAGGCGTTTAAATTGTATTGGCACATCTGTGGGTATAATAGGGATTCGCGGTAGTAATATATTTTCACCTCGGAATTTGCCATTTAAAATTATGGTTTCGATAACATTTTTCATTAATTTTTTAATTACTAATCGCGTGCCGTTACACAACCGTGATAGGTTCAAATTACAAAGCAAAATAACCGGAGATCCAACCTTCAGTTGTAAATTATGCAGTGGCTTGCTTTTGAGCAACCCAATTGAGCACGGTTGCAGTCAAACAATAGGAACCTTTTCTTTAGCATTTTTTATTTTGTTGGTATATAGAGCTCGGTGCATCCATATTATTATTACAAAATAAAATACATTTTAATATAATTATTTATAATTAAAAATCTTTTATTGGATTTTAATCACATGTTATAATTACATAATTTTTTTTTTCGTGTGTTGTGTTCAATTCATTTTAATGTAATTTAATAAAAGGCGCAGTATAATAACGCTAGTGTGTTGCCAGCCTAATAGTTTTCAATCTGACAATGTTGTACACCGAGTACATTGTTTTTTACCAAGCTCAATTGGGCATCACCGGGATAATGTACAGCTTCAGTAGCATCGCAAACTGTATAAATAGATTTGTATGGCACCAAGTCTCCTGGTAACAAATGTTGTACCTTGAGATTCAATTCATTGACGTCCTCATTTTTTGCTGCTAAAATTGCTCTTTCTGCCAGCCACTCATGATTTGTGTATTGTCTGTGTACATTGGGAAATATCTGGTCAATGAGAGCATCTTGCTAATCAATAAATATGCCAGAAATCGATCGGTAATTGTATGCATCCAGTTTCATCTGTAGTAACTTTCCCATCAGCGATATCTAACAATTGTTTTGAGAATCTTCCGCACGCAGCTTTTTTTGATTGAAACACAAGTATCGTAATCGTTCGCTCTCTATCTTTACATACATGTCGACCATGAATTGTTGACCAAGCTCACGACATCGTAGAATAACGTTGTCTTAATTACATCTAATCATCAACCGATATGCATAATAATTCTTCGTACTAACATTCTTATTTGTTTTGGCACCTGTTGCGAGATCTTGTTGTTTAATATTTATGCAATACCCGTCATTTAATAACAAAAATAAAATTAATAGTTTTTAAGTAGTTTTTAATAGTTTTTTTAATAGTTTTTTACTAGTTTTATTTAATAATTCATTTTCAATGCGCAGTTATCGACCGGGTCAAAAATTATTAAATTAAACTATAATTTATTAAATAATAGCTCTTTTCCAACATTTTTTTTTCGTGAAAACCTTCTCCTGGCAATTACAATCAATTAAAAAAAAACTTAAACCAAATCGGGGCCAGCCGTTCTCATCCATGAAATGTAATACATTTTTGGCTCCATTTTTATATAAATAGATAAATATGTACATAAATGAGAGGTAATATTCAAATAAAAGCAGTGGCGTATATAGGGGGGGTTCAACCCCCCACCCCCGAAATTTATGGTTAGTACGACCTACGTGTGCATTTCTTTAATCTATGTATTAATTAAAACCAAACTGTCTAGTATGGGAAAAAAATACTCTCTCCTAATTTTTAAGCAAATTATGCGCCCAATTCTTACCTACGCTTGCCCGGTATGGGATGATTGTGCATCCTCGCACATCAAAAAAATGCAAATTGTCCAAAACAAAGTCCTCAGAATAATTGCAAACGTTCCGTGGTTTATCAGAAATCCAAATCTGCTAATGATACTTTGAATAAACTATCCGTTGATTTTTTTCCAAATATATGGTGCTTAATGTCAATATTAGTAACTTTACCAGTCTCAACAGCGTCATCAGAAAGATCGTTTTCGATATTGAAAAGATTGAAATCATGCTTGAGAAATAGTACAAGCGAAAATCGACTAACAGGATTATCTCATGTCAATGCATCGAAGTATTTAAATAAACACTGAAGAAGTGATAAATAATTTTGCAAATCTACCTTGAAAATTAGACTTTGTCCTGTAATTAAATTTATGTATTCTAATTTTCATAGTTATTAAAAATAAGTTAATTTATAACCTTCATTTAGTATATATTTTTTCATAACCCCCCCCCCCCCCCCCGAAATTAATTCCTATATACGCCACTGAATAAAAGGATACAATTAAAATATATAACAATTAAAAAATATATCAAGCTTAAATAAAAGTATTTAACATGCACAATTTCTGATGAAAAGAGTTGTGAAGTCCTAGTGTATTATATACAATAAAAATTTAAAAATTAGTTATAAAAGTTTAATTAAATATAAACTGGTTATATATTATAACACACAAAATAACTTTTTAATCTTATGTTACAAATAACTACAAAAATTCACCATCTTAAAGTCTTAACTGCACAGTGCACACTATTTTAATTTTTTTTTTGAAACTTTGAAAACGCATAATATAATTGTATCAATACAAATGTATTTGTAATCTATTCATATTATTATGTGTGATAAAAAAAGATAGCATCACCATTCATATCTGCTATCATTTTCTTACACGCTCGGCTAACCTCGGTTATGATGGCATTGGTCTTATGACTGGTGAGCATTCCGGTTATCAATGGTTGATAAACAACAACAAAGACTACTATAATCACAACGATATCTTTAAAAATATTTCCTCCCTACAAAATATTGTTTCTTATTTTTATAATCTACTATATGCTGCTAAATAGTTTTGTTATATTAATAAATTAATAATTAAAAACTAATAATCAAACCTTTTAAGGCATTTTAGGTTTTATGATATTTCATTTTTGGTAAGTCATTTTAAATTTCTAAAATTATTTGATAAATAGAGTAAGTATAAACTATCATTGAAAAGTTAAAATTGTTAGTTAACCCTTTAAATTGTTAGTTAAAATTTAAAAATGAATTTTATATTCCTCATTTGCCAAAATGATGAATGTTACCCATCTTATAAACAATAATATTGTATATTAAGCATATTGTATAGGCATATTTTTCTCATATTTTATTTATACAGGGTGAGGCAGTCAAATCCGACGATTTGAAAAAATAAAAAAATAGAAAAATTTTTTTTATTAATTTTTCGCCGAACAAATAAAAAGTACACAAGTGGAATTTTATGTTATATATTTAAAAACTTCATTTTTTAAAGATTGTGTTGGGCAAATGCCTTCCTTGGGTAGCCACACATTGTGAGAGTCTGACACCGAAGCTTCCTACACCTAACTCGTTCATCGGACTTGATGCTTCCTGATTTTTTTCTTTGGGGTTATGTGAAATCCAAGGTGTTCGAAAACAACCCACCAAGGATTATTGTTGCCTTGAAAGAGCGAATTCATCTTCTTGAAATCAACAACATAACCTTGGAAACACTTTACAACGTCATGGGAAGCTTCGATGTCAGACTCTCACAATGTGTGGCTAACCAAGGAAGGCATTTGCCCGACACCATCTTTAAAAAATGAAGTTTTTAAATATATAATATAAAATTCCACTTGTGTACTTTTTATTTGTCCAGGGAAAAAATTAATAAAAAAATTTATTTTTATTTTTTCAAATCGTCGGATTTGACTGCCGCACCCTGTATTAAGAACAATATTTTTTTCTGGTTATGTGGCTATTACAATTATTTGAAATTATGAAGAAAATTTAATAGAAAACAATTATTATCTAGTTGTTTTACATTAGATAATGTTCGTCTTAAAATATAATATAATGATATTTTATTCTTGTAGGTAGTCAGGATGTCTGAGAGAAAAGTATTAAATAAGTATTATCCACCAGATTTTGATCCTTCAAAAATTCCACGCATGAAACTTCCAAAAAATCGACAATATACTGTGCGCCTTATGGCACCATTTAATATGAGATGTAAAACTTGTGGCGAGTATATATACAAAGGAAAGAAATTTAATGCTCGTAAAGAAGATGCAGAAAATGAAGATTATTTAGGAATACGTATTTATAGGTTTTACATAAAATGTACACGTTGCTTACAAGAAATTTCTTTTAAAACCGACCCACAAAATACAGATTATGAAATAGAAGAAGGAGCTACGCGAAATTTTATGGCTTTAAAACTTGCACAAGAACAAGAAAAGAGAGAAGTAGATGCTGAAAAGGAAGAAGAAGCTACAAATCCAATGAAGTTATTGGAAAATCGTACTCAACAATCTAAACAGGAAATTGAATTAATGGAGTCCTTGGAAGAGTTGAGAGATTTGAATAGACGACAAGGTAATGTAGATTATGATACAATGTTATTGAAATATAACCCTGCTGAGTTAAAAGAACAAATTAAGCGTTTACAAGAGGAAGAAGATGAAAAAACAGTTCAGAATTTACTGGGTATGAAGCGCAAGATTGATAATGATGTAGTTGAACCATTGGATGTTGAAAATACTAAGAGCAATAATAAAAAGATTGATTTACTGACTTCAGTGATACAACCTAGTGCAAAAAAAAAAGTGTCTAAACTTAATTTATTGAACTTGGTTAAAATTAATAATGTAAGTACCAGTAAGCAGAAAGAGTCGGGTAATTCATTGTCATTGATTGGAAATTATTCCAGTAGTGATGATTCAAATTAAAAAAACTTTGAATTAAATTTTCAATTTAATTAAATCTTATATGTTATAAGTTATGGCTTTTTTCTATATTGTATTAAATTTAAGTATCCAATTTAATGTATAATTTTTTTTTTTAGAAATAATAAAAATATATTTTCAAAAAATTAATTTTACTTATCACCTTAGTCAAGTTCATTGATTTTCTTAATACATAATTTAGTTTCACATATCATGATAAATGATTGATTAGCTATTTGTAACTATGAATTTATATTTAAATTAAAGGTAAACTTATTTTTAGCGGCATTGATTTGTATAGTTTTTCCTATAATTTGCTCATTTATTTTACATCATGTTCAAATAAATTCCACAAATAATTTTTTAAAAAAGTAACATCTTTTTATTATATAAAAGATTATTATATAGATCTAGTTAGAACACATTTAATATATTCCTACATTGAGGTTGTTACTCATAAAAATCTCAATGTATTTTATATTCACCTAATAAAAATTTCTTTCAACACATTAGGGTCTATAAGTTATATATTAAATATAATAGCTAAAAATTATGTTAATTTCTTATGATATGAAATAAAGTATTATCATCTAAATATTCTTATACAATTAATACTATTCGATCATCTTATATATTAATATAATGTATGAAAACTAAAGTCCGTCTGGCTGTTCTATCCGGTTTATTTTCTTCATTTTTTTTTTTTTTTTAATGAAAGGTATTTAGATACAAATATGTCATCAATCATTGAAATTTACTCAACTCCCACCAACGCGATTCTCCCTTGTACATTTCTTATGGGACACATTCACTCAAGTAACATTCGAATTCTTATAGCTCTTCTTCTAATGAATGGCTCTTGATTGTTTCACTCAAAGAAAACACTCAATAGATCAAACTCTTTCTTTTGAGCTATTAACTGCTTAAATTCGTTGAGTTTGAGGAAAGTTATGTGTGGACAATCAACTTTACTTTCAATTTTTTCCAAATACTCAATATCATTGGTTTTTAGCCAGTGATATAACAACAAACAACTCACAAATAATACTAATATTATCTAGAAAGAAGCACTGTAAAATGATTTTATGTAATAATTACACCCTCTCGTACAGTCTATGCTAATGCTGCGGAACATATATTTTAATAAACACTCTATCATTTCGATATTATACTCATTTATTATTTGTTAAAATGTGTTTATGTATTGATTCGATTACACCTATACTTTTTATTATTTAAATAAACTATTGCGTATTTTCACAATGGGTATACTAGTATAATAATAATACATGGGCTTATTTACAAATCTATGGTTTTATTTACAATTTTAGTTTGGAAACCATGTTTTTAAGTAGTTACACATGTGTAAGTTTATTCTCAAATTACAAGATTAGTCGTTCTCATTTGAATAATGTATCCTTATTAAAAGCATTTGGGTAAAAACATTTTATTTAGAACAAAAATTGTTTGACTCATTGTTACTTACAATAGTTGTAGTTAAGAATGTATAACACAATTCCCTGTCAACTTACTTCAAATTAATAATCACTAAATATAAATTCCATAAAGAACAGTATATAAAATCTGTATTAACACGTTCATGGCCACGTGTTAACTATAGTTGACATGGGTTCTCTTTAGATAAACATGGAGTCCATTCATTTGTATACATGATTATTTAACTCTGGTTTATTCTAATAAATAAATTAGGATTCGTCCTGCTATCTACCTTATTTAATTCACTGCTACGTCTTTGTTATTTCCCTGTTAAATGGAAAATAGCAACGATAATTCTTATAAAGAAACCTGGTAAAGACAAGACCAATCCTGATAGCTACAGGCCTATTAGCCTCCTAACATCCTTATCAAAAATTTTTGAAAAAGTCATACATATCAGGCTCCTTGATTATTTGAATATCACAGATGCTATTCCAAAATTCCAGTTTGGTTTCAAATCCAACCACTCTATCGTTCAACAACTTCTAAGGATCACGGAACACATCAACTCTGCGTTTGAAATGCACTGTCACACTGGCGCAATATTTATTGATATTTCAAAGGCGTTTGACAAAGTGTGGCATGAAGGCCTCCTTTTTAAGCTACGTAACATTAATACTCCAAATATCTTTTTAATATAATTCGTTCTTTCCTCTCAAATAGACAATACTCAGTCAGAATTAACGACAGTGCCTCTAACCTTTAGTCTATTTATGCTGGTGTACCCCAAGGTTCAAAACTTGGCCCTATTTTATTCAACCTTTACGTTTCCCACATCCCTCAATCACCACGCACACAAATTGCTCTCTTCGCTGATGATACAATCATCTTCACGGAATCACGCAACATCGAAGCAATATCCTCAAATCTGCAAGATCACTTAAATACCCTCTCACACTGGTGTCAAAACTGGAGGATCAAAATCAACGCCTCGAAGAGCATAGGTATTATTTTTAGTCTACGTCGCTATACTACTCCCCCACAACTAAAATTTAACAACGAAAATATACCCTGGCAACCGAAGGTTAAATACCTCGGTGTAACTCTTGACAAACGACTCATGTGGCGACCCCACATTTCATCTAAAGTCACACAAACATACCAGCGCATCTCAATGCTTTATCCCATCCTGAACAAAAATTCAACTATTCAAAATAAATGCTCTCTCCTAATTTTTAAACAAATTATACGGCCAATTCTTACTTATGCTTGCCCGGTATGGGGTAACTGTGCATCCTCGCACATCAAAATATTCAAACTGTTCAAAACAAAATTCTAAGAATAATTTCAAATGCTCCGTGGTTTGTCAGAAATGCAAATCTCCACAAAGACTTTCAAATTCAAGATATACAAGCTCATATTAAAACATTAGCTTAGAATTTCCACTGCTCTCTTCCTAACTCATCAGGTGCAATTCACTACAACCTTCTCACCCACCCAACTCATCGTAGATTAAAACGTGATCGTCCCCACGACCTCCTACACTAAGCCACCTCCAAACATTCAAATCTTCATGCGCTTCTTCCAAATCACTAAGACTATAGTTACTATAACTATATATGTAAATATGTAAAATCAGAATATTATTGTTATTATTATAATTGTTAATATTATCCTTAGTACTTAAAAATATTTTAATTTTAATTATCATGTTATAATGTTAAAACTATTATTATTATTACAAATATCCCTAGATTTAGATAGCCTTAGGCAAGGAATGTCTTATGTTTAATTAAAAAAAAAAAATAAATAAATATATTGATAACATGGTTTTCTTAAACACTTCTGTGTATCGATTGGTGTACTTGGTTTTAAAATCTGACAACTAGATAGCGATATAGTAGTGTTTGTTGTACGCGTACTATTTTTCTTAGGTTATATGATTCTTGCATATGTTTACCGTTTTGCATTTTTATTACTTTATTTAAAAACAACAAAGGTATTTCATATTTTTGTTACATAATTTGATGTGATTAATTATTTATTCAAAGAAAACTCTTAACACCGGGCACTCTTGGTTGCTGATATTTCGTTCGCTATTTATGGTGATCAGTTTGTAGAAATTCGTATATTGTTTTCGAAAAAATATCACCAATACAGAAGTGTCCGTTAGATGGAGTTTAACTGTTTTTGCTACGATTTATTTGATGATTAATGAAAATTATGTCAACTATAGAACTTGAAAACTTGAAAATACACAAATGTGTACCATATTACCACACTTTATACATAAAAATTATTTGGTAACAAAATTTTTTTTAAGTTGTAGTTTTTTTATACGACTTTTCAAATTATAGGGTGGCCGTGAACGTGCAAAATATATTGAAAAATCTGCTTATTAACCTTTTACTCAATACTAGTAAGGATTGATTTGATTTGATTCAATTTTTTTTTTTTTTTAGTGAAATATGAAAAATTATTTTTCTTCATTAATATTTTAATAGAAAATTACTTAGAATATGTTAAATTTCAGCAAGTATTATGAATTATAAACATGCTATTTGGTTAGCTTTACAAGAAATACTCTATTGAAAATTTTAAACAAAATAAGAATAATAGTTACCATCTCAAAATGTTGAGTAAAACAAGAAATGCATTGATTATATATTATTATATATATATAAATTATTCTATATTCTACTATATATATTTAAATTGCAAATCTACACCATAAGTTTGGATTAAAATATCATTTGCAGATAGTAAACTAGAGAGGTAAATATAATATATATTATCTTTGTAATAACAAAAACAACAATATAAATTAATTTAAATTCCAAAATGTTATCAAATTATTTATTTAAGATATATGAAGTGCATAACATTTTAAGAATTTGCATTTGGTCCTCTCCTACGACCAAATGTTTGTACAACATTTACGAAACGTCTATTGTACTGAATTCGCCTTTTAGATCGTCCTGTCTTCTTTTTCTTTTTCTTTTCAACTTTCTCTACTTTAGGAGTCTGGCCTTTAACTTTACCAGCACGAGCCAAAGATCCATGAACTTTTCCTAAATGTTTAATAATTAAATATGAGTAAATTATAAATAATATTTTAAACTAAACATTGAAATTAAAAACTTAATTACCTCCAAGCAATGGAATAATGAAATCAATATTGAAATTATTCAACTGTCCAATAATTTGATCATCACTCAAAGGTTCACCTTGACTGTACAATGAAATCAAATTCTCGTCAACATCTTCTAATGCTGCCAATTTGCTCTAATAATTGCACAAAAAATATAAAATAAGTCCTATAATGAAGTAGAAAACTTGAAAAATAACATTTTATGAAATGATTTTCATAGCTAATCCTATTTCACACACAAGGAGATTAAAACGATCAAAACTTTAAACAAGGCTATTATTTTGTTTTAAGAATTAAACTATGAACAATTTAATATACTTTTTTCAATATATCAATAGTTATATATTTTAGACTAGAAAATTGTTGATTTTTAATCAGTACATACTACATAAGGATTATAAAAATAATTATGTTTGAGATGAGTCAGGACCCAGTTGTATTAACATTTTACTTTTGATATTTTATGTTGGATAATTAATTTACATTCAAGAAGTACTGATATATAGAATTAATGATACAACCTAATAATAAACTCAAAATCTTTAATATGTTAATACATTTCACTTTAATGGCGATGTCTACATTTTTTATAATAACGCAAAATAAAACTAAACTATTTACCTTAATCAGAGAAATGCTCTCCAAGCCTTGGCATTCTAATGCACGCACATTTTGACCACGGATGAACAACTGCATGTTGAAGCCAAATTCTATACTAATGAAAATATTATAATTTTAATAAGTCTGTTTTTGTAAAATTTTGAGGTTATAAAATGAACCTTTAGTATATTAAATAAGTACAAACAACATTTAGAAAAAATTAAGATTACTCACACTTAATGTACTTATTCAAATACTGTATTTGATACAGAAAATCTGTAATATAAGGATTGTAGAAAGATGAATTCCTCAAATTCTAGTTCGCTGAAGACACAACAACACCAATGGTCTTATGAAAAAGGCTAAAAAATAATTACCTATATATCTATGAGATACGATACCATATATCAGGAGACACCGATGCATAAACCACGTTTTTCATTAATTTTTGAAGAGTGTGACCAACATAATAAACGTCAACGTGCAAACCATAGACATAAAAAAATGTATTTGTACATAATGTGAACGCACAAATAACAAAATATTTTTTTTTTGTTACGACTTATAATTTGTTATGAGTAGGGAACGGATTTGAATGCAAATTGCATTTTTTTCTGAATGTTTAAAAAAAGGGGCGTACCCAAGGGGAGGGGTTTCGGGTCCGGACCCCCCATTGAAAATTCTACATACTCTATGGTTTAATAGTAAATAGTATATTTTAATTTCCCATTATCTTCAATATACAGTGTCGCAACAATTGGGCGTTCAAAGTATTCAATGCACATGGATCTCTGGTTCATAGGGGCTTCCCAAAGTAGAAAATTGAAGATAGTCTTTTTCAAAATATATCTAGCCAATATAGGTATTCGTTGCTTTCCAGTGGCTCGTGCTTCGAAAATATTTTGATTTTTTGTATTTGATTTTCAATACATTTATTATTAGCATAAATGGATGATAATTAATATTATTTAAGTACCTGGTATTTTAAAATTAATCAATAAACAATTCGATTTTACGGTAAACGGGTATCAAAGATATCAGTAATTCTTTTTCATGGAAACCAGGTGTGATATAAGATTATGGCTGTTATATTATTTAGTATTTTAGTGCCTATTTATAGTTTTGTTGTCTATTAATAACTTAAAAGACGTATTAAAACATTTAAAAAACCAAGGTATGCTAAATTCAGAATATGAAGATAAGTTTGATGAAATGTCAGCATAACTATTTAAGAACTAGCTTAAAAACATAGAATGTAAGCCTAAAGGTCGACGTTTAAGCACTGATGTAAAATAATTTGCACTTACTCTTCATTATTCTTCGCCTAAAGCTTATTAATTTTGCCGGTCAGTTGGTAACAATACATATATAAAATATTAAGATATTTTATATATGTGGGTAACACACTGTTAATTAACATGGCTTAAAGCTTATTATAGTAATATATATATATATATATTATTAATTCATAAATATTTGGGTATTTTCTAGATTTATCTTAAGATTGCCTTACGGAATCGGATCAGTAATCAATGGAAACCCTGGATTTTTAAGTGAAGTTTTGTCATGTCTTAAAAATTTACCAATATTTGATAAAGATTTAAATTTAGTGTTTGATCCAATGGCCATAAAGAAACAAATTATACGAGACAAAAAACTTGATAAATTTGATAAATTTCTCTGATTATGGCAATTAATGATGGGTATAATCGAATAATTTCAATAATTGAATTATTAGTATTCAAGACATTTTTATAATCGAGAGATGACTCGAAATAATCATACGAAATGTTCAATTTAAATATAATATAATTTTATTTATAAATGTTCTGAGAAATGTTTGTTGTTTTGTGGTTGAGTAATTCAAAAGTTTTAGCTATAGGTAATGTAAATAACAAAGAATAACTGTATACCCCATCAATATTTGTCTAACAACCAATCCCACGAGTAGCACAAGTCGAAAATACAGACTCTAAGCGAATAACTAGTATTTACTTATTCGATTATGAAGATTAAAAATGGTATTTCTCCCTCACTCCTCGTTCCATGAAAATCTTTCGAAATCAAGAATTCATTGTTTTTCAAATAAATGAGATATCACTCGAAATAATCTCTTGGTTATATAATCAAATTATTATTTTCATAATCGAGACATCGCGATTGTGTATCTCGATTACGCCTATCACTAATGGCAATGAATTAAATTTAGAGGGAAATAATGTACCAGCAATTGAGGTCCTAGTTTTCATGTTAGTCAGTTTGAAGGGGAAATGGAATTATCTTGTAGGTTATTTTTTTCAATATAAAATAAACAGTTCTACTCAACCAGAGCTTATAAAATAGCTTTAACGGTTACATGTGATGCAGGTCTTAGAGTTTGAAAATATAGGTGCTTATGGTAATATAAAATGTTAGATAGATTATCCTGTTTCTGGAAAGTTTTTTTTGTGCCAGATGCCTATCATATGCTAAAGTTAGCCAGACACACTCTGGGAAACACTAGAGCAGTGGTGAAGCACGAGTATTTAAGTTGGGGAGGCATTAAAATAATACGTTACCATTCATAACTTTATATTTATCTATAATAAAAGGGACACGGTCTTTTATTTTTTATTTTATATATTTTTTCGTATGAGTTGTTGACTATTCCATTATTCAACATTTCATTAATTAAATCAAGCATAGTGGCGAATGATAATAGTACAATATTTTAATATTTAGATACAAATATCACATCAGAAATAAATAAATCGTAAAATAAAAACCAACCAATAACTACGATAAAAAAATTGCGTTGAACGATAACTCATCAACGCGAAAAGCATTGACAATTATAATAATGTACCTATATTAAAATGAAATAATAACTACGAACAATACACGAGACATGTCTCATAGCGCAATGATAATCCCCACTCAATAACCTATTCCCCCTGCACACTGTGCCTTGAAAAACGAGACGCTGCAACGTGTCGTCTCATTATATTAATTTTTATATCTGTATTTGGATGTTTCTTTAATTAATCATTACGCCAAAACGGACGAAAGCTCGCGTGCACGATCCGCAACTAATCTATTTTTAGAATACTAATACGGTATGACACAAAAGTAAAACTATGATAAATATTGAAATATATATTATTTATAAATAAATAAAATATAATAAAATCAAATTATGTATCCGTATTAAAAGTGGGTAGACATTGTCTCATTGTCTCCTATGACGCTTCGCCACTGCACTAGAGTATTATCTACTAAAGGCCCTATTAATTGGAATTATTTTGAAAAATCATATGAAGTTTAAAACAATCTTACATTAAAGTTACCCAATAAAATAAACTAAAACATATTATGTGGCCTCAAAATAAAATGAAGGTTAAGTTGGCGGCTCAAATGTTAAGTAGTTCTACAGCAGACGCATTACATTTTTTTGAAAGATATTTGTGTGCAAGGATTTCAACATTTAAATCCTACAGTTAAATTTTGTCAGACTATTAATCATATTTTTATTTTTTTATTTCCAGAAATTCCTTTGGTAAAGGAGTGAAACCCTCCCCCTTTTATTCTTCAAACATTTTCAATTTAGAGACTGTTATACCATTAGTCAATAATCTATTTACATTAAAAGTAAAAAAATAATATACCAAACTGCTAAAAAATCATTTGTAATTGGTTTTGCAGTGGCTATAAAGTCATTATTTTTAATAGCTAAGTTAATATTTAATCAAAATCCACTTTATAAGTTTTCGTAGGATTATATTGAAATATTGTTTGTTTGTTTCAGACAAAGATTTAGAGCAAATAGTAATCCTAACATACTACAACTTAAAGTGAGTGCTCGACTTGAGGGGGGACGCAAGGGACGGATTACCCCAACTACTTTTCAGAAATGTTAGCATACCCCTACTATTATTGTTATAATTATAACGCTTAACAAGTTTTGGGGACGTTCTTTTTTTTAAAGTAAATAGAGTCCCCCTTCTTTAATTTTTCCAAGTCGAGTATTGCTTAAAGTTGCTCTTAAACAAATATTATTAAAAAATGTAAAACAAATGGTAACTGTAACAGTTTTTTATGATGATGTTTTTGGAGCACTGTTTAAGTTTAAATGGAATAAAAAAAGAAGATAACACCGGTGAAATAAGTTTTGAAATTATTGATAAAATTGACAAAGAATCTTTGAATAGAAGTATCTTACTTAATTATACCAATTCGACATGAGTAAGGATAAATAAAATATTGTTATATAACTACATAGGGTACCTATGTAGTTTGTAAAATTTCAAAACATATTGATTGTGTTATTTACATCCAATCTCTACTTTTAAGTCAAACTTCTATTGATCGTAATTATCCTGTAACTCAGTTGTATACTAAATTAACTTCTATAAAAAATATTGGTGGCTTATTTTTATCTTCAGAGTGTTCATATAAAGTAATTATAGAGGCAGAAAATACTATTTGTATTGTACTAATATCTTAATACAGATCAATGTACAAAACAAAAAATAATGGTGTTATTAATAAATTTGCATTGGATTTAAATAATTTTAATAGCTTAAATTGTGAAAATGTAGTATTATTAGACAAACCTGATAAAATATTTTTAAGCGTTAGATTGCAATCATACGTTAAGTAATTTTCTAGTGACATTTTAAATATGATTAGTCAAAGACAAAAAATTAACAAAAACGATATTATTTTATAATCAATAAAGTATATAAATATGTATTGTATATTTGTATTACATGTTCAATGCTATTTTAGGCCACTAAATTATACAATATTATTACTTTGTTTTTATTGGCAAATATAAGATTATTATCATGTCGTATTGATAAGAAAATATGTAAATATTGACCTACACGCATATAGTGGCTAACTTCAATGTTCGATGTCTTGTTAAATTTTTACAGTAACCATTTGTTTTCCATTTTTTAATAATATTTGTTTGAGAGCAACTTTAAGTTGTAGTATATTAGGATTATTATTTGCTCCAAATCTTTGTCTGAATCGAGTTAATAAAATTTTAATATGTTCCTGTGATATCTTATAATATATATTTATAAAGTGGATTTTGATTAAATATTAAATTAGCTTTATGACTACTGCAAAACTTCATTTTTACACATATTAAGTATTAGCATCATTATGTCAATCTGTAAATTTTAAGAAACCTGCTTTTAAATTTCAAATATTTTGATTACAAAATTTCAAATTGTATTTAAGTTAAATGTATTTGGATCATCGTAATGTTTAACTTATACACATTGGCTTATTCTTCAGCGTTTTTTTTTTTATGATCGAGGGATATAGTTTTAAAATATACTATTATTTTGTTGTTTATTTTAATTATTTTTATTACAATTATTATGTCAGGTCAACAAAATTATTTGTTTAAAAGTACTTTTTTTGTATTAATTTTAGTTTTCTAAACTTCACTTATATGAACTTAAGTATGTAAATTTTTAACATTAGTACATCAGATATCATTAATCAGTTAGCCAAATTATTTGATTTAAATTAACAATATTAAATTTATAGAATCAATAAGAACTATTATTACAACTCATAATGAATTGAATGATAAATTCCATTTAATTTAAATACAAATTTAATACAAAAATGTTGGTTCAATATGTGTGAAAATAAAATATAATTAATAGCGAACGAAATAATTTTATTAAAATATATGTGTCTGGTTGAATATGAGTTAAAAAAAATCCAAGTATATGTCTCTTAAATCTAATTATTTCATAAAGCATTTCAACAAAATTATAAAAATCAAGAGAGTAAATTCCATTCTTATAAAACTCTTTAAATAGAATTTATTTTTTTATATCACAAATCATGTCAAATTGTTTATAACTAACGTAGATCTTTTGTTGTTCCTTCTGAATAATTATACATGCAATGATTAATATATTATTTTCATCTCAGTTTTTAATTGCTTTTTATGGCATTGTTTATAGCTATAGATTTTTATGATCAATGGTCAAAATAGATCCATAATAAACTATATTTTTAATAATGAATTATTTCAGAAACCATATTGGGTAAATATAGTTTATTTGTTATGATTAAATAAACAATTTAATAATAATAATAGAGCAGACAACTTACCCTTTATATTATTTGACTTAACTTTAAATTTCCAGTCACAATTAGTAAAGTAGAATGTTAATTCATAAAGGATAAATCTAATAAAAACTATTTACACCATTATACTATAAGACAATATATGATTATATTTTATTTTATTTACTAGTAAAACTAGACTATAGATAAATAATAACATTATACTAATAACTGTTATTATATATCTATAGACTATTATATATATACTTGATGAATTAAGCAATATAGTAATATAGATTTTTTAAAACCATTAACTAACCATGGTTTGAGACGTTCATCAATCACGTATGTCACATATGGAACCTATGTTATCTTCCTAATCCAGAAGTTTATAATACAGCTTAATTCTCACTAGTCCACATTAAATTGGAAAATATTCAGATGAGTTATATTTTGTGTAACAAATATATGGAATTAAATACCAGAGAATACTTTTAGTTACAATTAATATTTTTATAAATAAAAATATGGTTTCAAATTTAATTAATTACAATTACAGAGTTGAAGGTATTTGTACATAAAATTAAGAATAATATTAATCTAAACTTATTGAAATATTCATTTTAAATTAAATTTATAAATAAAAAAAAAGAATTATTTTTATGTTTCTGATTTCTAATATCTTATACATTTTAATAAGTTAAAACAACAATTTAGGAATATTTGGTTACAAAAAAGTATATACATATGTATATATATTTAAATAATAATATATATAAATATAAATTAAAATGTGTAATTTTAATTTATATTAATAGATAATATATATATTTCTAATTATTTCTTTTTTTTTGCAACACTTACATTTTTTGCATTAAAATTAAATCAAAATATGTACAGAACAATATCTTTTTACAACAATATTACTCATATGTATACTCGTAACAAATATTAAAAATAATTTAATAAACAAGACAACGTATATTGAGTTTAATAAATACAATTATTAGTACTTTAAAATAATAATCAACGACAATCTGGACAGTACCAATTACCTTTAGGAGCGACCGTTATACCCACACAATCAAAATGAAACCATTCCACCCTACAATTTGCATTATCACATGCAATCATTTCAGATACTTCATCATATGGGCATCTACAGTGACAATATAATCTTTCAGTGCTCTGCACAGCTTTCTGTTCAACAAATTTAGGAAGTTCAATCACTAAATTTCCAGAATCACTGTCAGTATCATTTGCAATAGGAGGCACGACAGTTTTACTTAATCTAACATCAACAATAGGTCTTGACTGTTGCGACTGTGTTAATTTAGTAATAGGATGTTGAAGTAGAATAGGTGAACTTAATTTGGATTTTCGTTTTTGCTTTTTTTTCTTTGAAGATGGAACATGAAGAGAACATTCTTGGGTTAGAGATGAATCTCCATTTGCTAGTTGCTCTTCTTCACTACTGTCATAACCAAAAAATTTTCTTTTTTTGGGTTGTCGTTTGGACTGTCGAGTGTCATTTGACAATATGTTTGTTTTTGTAGAGTTTATTTTACAAGTTGTATAAGAAGAATTTACTGTAAGAGGAGAAGGAGTATTTGTAAACTCTTTGGACAATTGAGTAACTTGTATTGCTGTCTTTTGTTTTGATTTACGTTTTGTTTGTCGCTTATTAAGTGCTGAAGAATTGAGAAGTTTTTTTGTACTTGGCTGAGTGTAATAACTACTATCAACAGTTTGCTCATGATATATAGTTGAACTCAATTCATCTTTTACATTATGTAAATTGTTATTACCATTGCATATTTTAACTGAAATTTTATTTAAATTATTCTCAATGCATTCTTGATTTGCAGTAGGTAATAATAAACCATCGTATAATGAAGATAAATTATTAGAAGACGATGAATAATCATTATTATATAAGTCATAATTATCAGTTACTTTAAATTTATCATGAGTTAGACCCACCATATTATTAGTTCCCAATATTTGAGATTCAACATCTACATTAATTTGATGAAGTTTATTTAATGAATTAGACAATTTAAAATTATAATCATTAGATGTAGATAAATGAGATAATGTTGGGTTAATTTTTGGTGAAGATAATGGATTTTCTAAATTTAATTGTGGAATTGTTTGAGTATTCCCATCGGGATGTAAAGGTACTGGATTAATATCATAGTAATCTTCATTGTCTGTATTTGAAAATTCACTTTCTAAGTCCGATTCTAATGCACACAAATTGAAATTTGCTACTTTTTTGGCACTTAAAATCTTGACTTTTTTTTCTTTTTTCTTTTTCCTGTGTTTTTTTGGACTTTCAACTATTGGTTTTTTCTTTTCTTCTGCATCAGAATCAGATGAAGAAGAATATGATGCTGAACATGAACAATTTGAACCACAAGAACTAGATGAAGATGAAGAGTTACAATGTGATGAACAAGATGATCTTTGGCATATTAAATTGTTAAATGAATTATTTAATACATTTTCATTACCATTAACAACAGCTGTTAATTCATCAAAATACTGAGGAGATTTTACAATTTCAGGTTGAGGAGTAGAAGATAATAAGGTATAGTCATGATCTAGTAATGCAATATGGACTAATTCTTTTTTTTGTTTACTTACATAATCCCAATAATTAGCACTTGGACTTGGTGACTTAAAACTTTTTTCTGGTTTATGTCGAGGTGTTTTCTCAGTTTCACTATCAGATGAAAGATTTAATGGAGGAAGATTATAGTCATCTCCTTTTTTCTTCTTCTTCTTCTTTTTCTTTTTCGTGGGAGATATAGATTCCATATGTATTATTTCATGCTTCTTTAGTAATTTTTTTGAAATAAATTTATTATGACAAGTATTGCATTCATATGGAATATTATCTGAATGCCATCGCTCATGAACTCTTAATAACAATGCACTGGAAAATGTCCTTTTACATTCATCACAGGTAAATACTGCAGGTGGAACACAAAAATGATATGTGTAAGGCCATTTTTTTGTTAGACATAATTTACATTCTTTACTATCCCTATTATGTTTCCAAAACATATGCTCAAAAATATCCTTTTTACTAAGATAAGTTATATTACATTTTAAACACATGTGTCTCATTTTATGTTTATTAACATGTAATGCTAAACTTTGTTGATTAGGGAATGTTTCCAAACAATAATCACATGCATTGTGTGCTTTTCGTAAATGAACCATGCATCGAAATGCTGATGGAATTTGACCTTGGCCACAAAATAAACATCTAAATGATACATTTTGCCATACTCCTAGGTCAGCACCTGGACATAAATGACAATGGAGTTCACCATAATTTGAAAAAGTTATTTTACACATCATACAGTCATATGTTTTTCTTGAATGAACACTTCGTTTATGAGAGTTAACTTCTTTTATCAGTTTTGATGTAAATTGACAGTTGAAACAATAAAAAATATTATTAAATGGTACATGCATTAATTCATCAGTAGAATCAAAATTTTCTGAATTTAAATAAAGATTATCTAATAAATTCAAATTAGATTTCAATATATTAACAAAATCATCAGACGATTCATTTTTTACTGTCATAAAACGATGTTTTTCAATCATATGTAATGCTAATTGTTTACCATTCACAGCAATACAAGTAGAATTGTGACAATATACACATGTCAAACATGATGTTCTAATGCATTCTTTTAATATAACATTTAATTTCATATCAGTCAATTTATGATCTAGAGTTAAAGCCATAACTGGCAGATTATTGTCATTTTTAATATTTTGAAGTGTTTCTGATCCATTTACCCAAGGACTTTTTTCTGATAAAACTGTAGACATGCTTTTGATCCCTAGTTTAAATTCTTCTTCAACATTAGATAATGTTTGTGAAGATTTATGTAAAACATTAATTTCATCAAACGATGGTTCAATATTTTCAAGAATATCTACATTAGGAAGAACATTGTCACAACTTGATTGAGTTGTGGAATAATTTGAATGATAAATATCATCTTCTGAAGAACCTAATTTCCTTACAGTTTTGTTATCAGAATCATCAGTAACAGATATATCAGAACAACTTAAATCTTGCAACGTGCTTTCAAAGAGTTCTTCAGCTTCAACATCATAGATAACATTGTGTATAATATCATTGATAATTTCATTAATTTCTTCATCTTCTCTGCGTTGCTCATAATTTTTAGTACCCAAAACAATATCCAATACATCAGGATTATCTAAAAATAACTCGTCTTCTTCTGAACTACTATTTGAAAATTGAGAAATTGAAGTTGGTGGAATTGGAAGTTGAGACAAATATAGAGGCTGTGCGAAATATCTTTTATTTACACTTTCGCTAAATGCATCTTGTGATTTGTTAAGATTATCTGAAGCTACTAATTGATGAATATCTTGTATGTGATCTATTAAGTCACTATGTATTTTAAATCTAGCTCTACAAATTATACAAAAATACTGACGGTGAAATTCCTTGATATGATCAAACAACTTCATTCTATGAAAATTCTTTCCACAAATATCACATTTACTAATCCTACTATGTAATGACATATGTCCGTATTTACCATTTGGCCGTTTTACTTGTTTATAACTGCTAGATTTGAAAGTATTATTCAAATTATTTCTCATGGCCATCTTCATAGATCAACATCAATGAACTAATATACTTGATAGCAAAATAATAAATCTGTAAAATTAAATTATAACCATGAATAATAAATATATCATAAAGATAAAATATTATACAAATAATCTATAACTATTATATTGCAAAATTAAAAAAATTAATTCATTAATTAAGTCAAAATTTTTATTTGTGCCAAGTGATTTCAGCTATTATAGGTTTTAATTTATAAATATAAAAACTAATATTATCATTAGAAAATTCAGTAATATAGAATTTAAAAATTTAATTATATAGTAATATTAAGCATTTTTTGATAATTTATTATTAATTGATGATTAATAAGTCTCAGATTTAAATTAATATATTATTTTTATTTTATGACCCTACCCATAAAATATATAAAATTACAAAATATTTTAATTTTTAAAATTCTTAATCATAAACTAACTATATAAACTTCCTATTTATTTAATATTATAGCATTTAAATTAATAATAAAAAGTATTAATTGATTTTATATATTAAATGTTATATTAAAAATGTAAACATTATTGGTTTGAAAAATAAAAAAAAAATTGCATTGAGCAATTAAATAATTAGCTATTAGCAAAAATAATAAATTAGTTTTTTCTAATTTGTATAAAATAATATGATACAGTATGATTTTGGTAAACTTGCTATGCAATAGTCTGAACAACTGGTAATTTAACTTATTTTTCAATCATTATTGATATTACCATTTAACGTTGACAACAATGATCACGGTAGAAATTTTAACTAGGTATATATTGATAGAGAGTTGGTTGCATCATTAATTCAAGTACTTTAATACTTCTACATACATTTACCAACAATTAATCATGACATTATGTTTTAAATTATACTTTTAATTAACATTGCGATAATACAATATCTTCAATAATATCTATTCAGGGTCGGACAAGTTGTACTGTAAGTCATGAAGTCATGTATATATACCAAATACATCAAAATAAAGTTTATTCATAAAATTAAGTTTAAAATAGATAGTTGAAATGTTAAGTAAGGTTTAGTTACTGCATAATATAAAAAAAACATTTATTTAAAATACCGAATAAACAGAAGTTTATAGTCAGTAATATTGCGAAACATAAATTTGGAGGGAAAGCCTCTCATAGAAAAAAAAAAAAAACTAAAAGAATCTAAGATATAAAGGGTATGAACACTTCAAAATAATATAATAAGCCAAAGAAAATATATTACAATATATTTGCCATTAAGCTAGAAATGTTAAAAACAAATAACAATATGATCATCGGTTGGTGAATATTTTTGATAAAAATAACAATAAATAAATGTTCAACAACACTTAGTAGATTGCCGAGACCGATTAAAATGAGAAAATAAAACCTAGTTGTGTGAGGCTAAAGAAAACCAAATCAATATAGTCGGTGTATACTGTAAATGGAAAAGGCGTACCTGATGAGGATAAAACGGATAGTGTTTACAGGTTATCATCAATGCTTCAATAATATGTAAAAACGTTCCATAGAGAATGTTAGAACATTTTATACACAATCACCGTTATATGAATAGAAAATATTTTTGAGTAGGTATTCAAAACAAACGAACCCGTTTTGTGTTTATTTCCGAGCAATAGATACCCCTCTCCGGGCGCGGAAAATGGCGTCGCCTAGCATTTCAGTATCACTGCTTTCGACTGAAAAACTAATTTGAATACTCCAACGTACTCGAATTCCACTTCACCGCCAGAAACTTTATCATGAAAAATTCGTGTGTACGAATCGATTTAATACTAAAATAAATTAATATAATAAAAAAATTGATGTGCAATGTAACGTTAACACTACGTTTGACACTACCTCGTGTCTTCGCCTTTGTATTTGTACTAAAGTTTTTATCATTTTTATATATAACGTTGAGGTCCTTTTGGAGCGTGTTAAAACGTTTAACATCACAAATCACAATCGTGATATTTATGTTTCAATTGCATGCAAGTATGTCCAGTAATTAACAATATTAGTGAAAAATGCCTTTTGTTCTATGGTTAGTGAAATTTAAGGTTAATGCAGATTGCTGATTGTAGACCAGGCGTGTGGTTATGGTGAATTTTTAACCGTGACGTTTACAACTTCTGTGGGTAAGACTGTTGGCGATATCACTATTGAAAAACCTTTATCACGCAACAAATTAGTAAACAGTTGACGATCATCTGGATAATAGTATTATGCATAAAAGCATGCGTCATATTTCATTTTCATTATGAACGTATTTTATGATGTTTGTTTACTCTTGATTTAGTGAAATCGATTTAATTAATTATCTATAATTTAATTAGACTTCATCGGCTGTGTTGATATCGTTCGGTTATTGTTTAAATGGTTGCGATTATCAACTAAAGTACCTAGTTATTCTTGTTAAAAACAAATTATTCTATTTCGAGAGTAGTTTCTCGTCAACTATTGTGTGACTAATTTTATTTTCTTCGTGTAAGTTTCTTCAAACTAACTTCTTAAAATATCATGATAGACATATTTTAGTTTATTAATTATCAATGTAGTTTTGTCTGGAATTTTCCTACATTTACTATCAGGTATTTGTTTTTATTCACATAACATTTATGATTATTTTTTATTATCGTTAACATAATGTGTTATTGTTTATGAGTTACAGATTAATATAAAATCATAATGGTTTATCCATTGCAATATTACCGTAGAGAAATGTTAGAAGCGTATGTACGTTTCCAAAATAATACAGATTATAATGTTGAAGTAATTTGGATAAAAGACAAAAAAGAAGAGAAATATAGTATATTGCCACCTAAATCATTTTTGGATGTGAATACATATTCTTTACATTCATGGATCTTCAGGTTTGTGTATAAAAACTAATTTGTATTTTTTTGTAATATCTGTTATTTGTAGAGAATATTTATTAAAATCTCCAATGAGTGTTGCTGGTAAAGAAATATTTAAAGCCAGTCCTTGGCTTAAAGAATATCAGCGCCTTTCATTTAGTCATCCAATCACTTCACCATTGAGAACAACTGTTCCAATTGATGCACCAGTTTTGGATTTACGACAACTATGCCTATTAAAGGTGGTAGATATGTTGAAATCAAAAAATGATGTAAACGAATTAGAATTACCTAGAACACTTCAAAAAGAATTAGCACAAATGATTTCAAATAGAAATGAATTGCCTTATTTTGTTTAGTTGAAACATGCTATTTATTCAATTAATGTAAATTCTAGTATTTGGTTTATGTGCATTTTGGTTAACTATACTTGTTAAACATTTTTAATTATGTTATATTTTCCATTGATATTGTAAATAATGTTTTTAAAAATGTGTATTATTATCTGTACCAATGATAGTAAAAATATAATTTCTTTATTATTCAATTATTGAATATTTTATAAAATGATTATTCCGAATTTAATATTAATTCATGATTAATAAAAATGCACACATCCATGAATCTAAAAAGAGGGTAAAACTTCAATCAAATAGTGATGAAAAATTGTGTTCCTATTTGTTTTTTTCGAAATTTGATATTAATACATATTAAAGTGAAAGATAGTAATGAGGTAGAGTAAGAGATTTTGGTTGTGGTTTTACTGTCAAAATTCGGTAACAGTTCAATATGTGATCTACGAATATTAGTTGACTAACTAATAAGATTGTATTTATCTAAGTATTTTTTTCTTAGTTCAAATATTATTCTTTTTACCAATAAAATTATATTTGTCGGTTTCTTTTAATGGGGTTTTGTCATTTTAGACATCTTATACTATTTTTGTTAACATACTTGCTTTTACTGACCTCATTTTATGATCACTGATCTATATATCAAATGGTTAAGCACTACATTTTTTATTGACCTGGAAACAGGAGCACACCCTCAATAAATTTAAGACTTTTGAAGAATTTTAAAATTCAAATTGTTGCAACTATATGGTTATATAATAAGTGTAAATAATAGGTGTAAAACAATAAAATATTGTAAATTGATTATTTAATTATATTCACATAGAAAATGTAATAAAATAATTTCATATAAGAACAGGAAAACTTGATGTTTAACTTAGTTATAATTCTAATTACTTTGACACACAGATTATTACTTTGAAAAAAAAAAAAATATACAATGAACACACATTGAATTAAAATACAATTTTAAACAATTAATGTATCATCTAACTCTTCAACTTTGGTGTCCATTTGAATTGAAACTTTACGTAATACTTTATTTATAACATCATTTAATGCCTCACGAGCACCTGTGTCCAATAGATTTAAACAAGCCTAAAATAAAAAATTAACAAAATAAAATATAATTGTTCAAATACATATATCAATTTTAGGACATAATTACACAGATATTTTTTACCTCCATTTCAGGTCCAGGCTGCATTAACAATTTCAAATAAAAAATATTATATTTGAAAATAAAATGAGCAATCAATATAAATTATTTACAGGTATTAAAGTTATTTAACATTTTAGCAATAAAAAAATAATAGTAAATTATTTTTGATGTACATTATACAGTTAAAATAACTTAAGTATACACTGTATACAGATAATTCTTTATTATAAATTCTATTTAATTTACTTGTAAAGTTGTATCGCCCTGTTGCAACTTAAGAACAGTAACAAGCGCAATTTCACTATTTGATTTGACATAACAATTCTTTTCTTTAGTGCCATTTACTAACATTGGAATGGTGGATTTTAAGAATTCTGGGGATAAAGTAACACCAGATTTCCCTAAATATGAACAGATATGAGCAACTAATTGCTTAACTTCATTACTGGATTGATTCATCATCTATAATTAATTTGAAATATAATAATTAAAAAAGTTAATGAATAAATATCTATATACTTCACATACTCTTATAAATGGACTTAAAAGTTGAGGAGGAATCGTAATACCAATATTCATTAAATGTGAAAATAAATACCCGCAACTTCGAACTCCATTCATTACAATAGAAATCTAAAAATATAAACATATTTAATTAAGATGTTAATATATAATAAAATTAAAATATTTATAACCTTATCAGCTTGTAAGTGGCATAAAATTGTTTTGATGACTTTATCACTATATACTGAACTAAATACTGTATCTGGGGATTCTTTAAGAGCAACAAACAATGCTGAACTTCTACCATGTCTTAATATTGGATCTATTGAAGGATCGTCTACTATAAAAAAAAACATAAGTTAAATAAATATTCTGTAAAAATATATAAGTTTTAAATATTTACTTAAAATATGATCATTCAAAGCAACATTTAATTGTTCAGGAGATAACCATCTACATAAAGCACCAAGACAACCAGCAGTACCACTTCTAATAGTATCTTCTGGGTTTCCAAGTCCTTCTCTTAAAGTCATAAAGACAGTTCTTCGAACTTGATCTGACATTTTATCACCAGCAGGAGAAATAACTCCACGTAATGCTTGAAGCATTGTTTCTCTAAAAAAAAAAAAAAAAAATTAAAGAAAGCAGATGAAATAAATAAATTTTAATTTTGTTAGTTAAAACAATTAAATACTTTATGGTTATATCTTCTGAATTTTTTACTCCTGAATGTAGGTCAACAAAAATAGTTTCTGTGCGAGAATGAACTACAATAAGATGGCCAAGAGCATTAGCTGCTTTGAGCCTAACTTGTCTGTTTGGGTCTTGTAATGCTTTCAAAAATGTTGTTTGCAACTGAGGTAAAAATTGCTTTAAATTATTACCAGCTTTGGCTAGTAGTAATGCAACGGTCTCTAAAATTGCAGACTTTATATTCCATGTATAACGTTCGTTTAAAATACGAATAAGGGGTCCAGTCATATTAAGCACAGGAGATGTTAATCCTTCCTTTGCAGCTACTTTAACCACTTCTCCCCAACCTTGAGCTGCTTGCTCTTTAATTTCAGGACTGCCATTAAGAATTGCTTCCCTAAAGATAGGAACAAATGGATCAGCTCCCTAAAAATAAGTATTATATATTAGAAATAATTAATAATTTAACTTAAAATAAATCACATGTATGAAGAATTATTCTAAGTTTACATATAAAAGATATAAAATTACTTCAAACTTTTCTCATTATTTTTTGCAGCTTATATTAATATTTATGTTAAAATGATATATATATTATACAAACATATTTCATTAGGTTGAAAAAATAAAAATGTATTTGATAAGATTAATTACGAGCACATAAGTAAAATATTTTTATTTTATTATTCACTTTTGGAATGCAGAATCCTGGAAGATATTCTAAATGCTTAAAATCACTCATTACAAATTTAATAGCTTGACGTATTTCAAATACTAAATGGTTACTTTGCTTTGTATCTACAGACTGAAAATAAATATAAATATAAATTTAAAAGTACATGGTTATAATATATATATATATATATAATACTTTGCAAACTGCATTTAAAGCTTCCCAGGCTAATTGTAAATTTTTTTCATCTTGATCTTTAAATTGATAAATAATTCCATGTAAAAGTTTTGGAACATATGAACTATAGTCTGCCTTTGTATATGTGCAAAATGCAGCTAATAACTGTAATGCTGATTGTTTTTGAGAAATATTTTCTGCTTGTGTGGCATCTAATAATAAATCAACCATTGTTCCAGCATCATCACAAACTGCTAAGACAACAGCTTGACAGTACACTAATTCCTAAAAAAATTATTTTTTTTTTTTATAAAAAGTAATAGAAAAGTAAATAAAATAATCAATTTTACCTCAGCTGCAGATTCAGTTTTGGATAAAGCTGTTAATAAGGCAGGTAATATTTTATGTAAATACTTATTAAGAGCTTCACCAGCAACAGAAGCTAATATTGATAAAGCTTTTGTATTAATAGGTGGTTGAGTCAACTGAGGTATTAAATAGGGTAGAACTACTCTAGATTTAACTGCCATAACTTGGCGTAATCCATCTAAAGTTCTTTCAGCAATTTCTGCATCAGGATTGTTCTGTAAAATATTTTTTCATAATAAATTCATAATTAAATATTAATTTATTTTCCATACCAAATTATTTAACATGGCCGGTAAAATGTCATCTAATGCACGATGTCCAACAGTTGAATGTAGACTATCAAATGTTTTAGCGGCAGCTTGTCTTACAGATGGTAAAGGGTCAGCTAATGCTCGACTAAATAGTAAAATAATTGTCATACAAAAAATTTGAAATACATTTTTTTAAATCTTATAAAAATTACCTGACTGTTGGCACTAAGCTATCTACAAAGGTTAATACCATATCTCTACTAGTAGATGCCATGATTTCTGATAAACCAATACAAACTCCTTGTCGTTGATCAGCTTGTTCAGACTCAAGACCTTTTTCTAAAATTGGAATTATATCTGGAAGTACTCGTTCTCCAAGTTTTCTTACTAGATCCCCAAGAGTTCTTGCAGCAACTTGTCTTTTATCAAAACTAGTACTAGCCAAGCATCCCAATAACAGTGTAAATAATGTTGGCAATATTTCTCTTAAAGTACGTGGAGTATTTGTAACAACTACTTTCCACACATGTAATGCCGCTTGACGTACCATTAATGCAACATCAGAACGGCCCATATATAAGCCAGCTAATACACGGTTTCGTCTCTCAGCTCCTAAGGTACCAATTATAGCCTAAAATATATTTAATTTACTTTTAGTGAGGAAGTTGATCATACACATACTTATAAATAATAATTATTAAAACTATTACATTGAAATCTAATAACTTAATTATAAAAATGTATGAACCTTATGAGAATGTTCTGTTCCAAAATTATCATCATCACTAGCAGTTTCAGTACTCATTTTACCTGATACACCAGATATACGATATAATAAATCACCAAGTAATTGAACTGAACTGTAAAAGTAATATTTAAAAATAGATATATTAAAATATAATAAGATTCAATTATTGAAAAATATTAAATGTTTCTTTTCATTTTCATAATATCTAGTTGTAAAAAGATAAATTTATTAATTAATAGTTATAATTTCATAAGAAATTTAAATAACTTTACCTAAATCTAATACGCCAATTGTCATCAAACAAACCACGTTCAAGTTCAGGTAAAAGTAACTGAATAGCAGATTCAGCATACATATTTACTATTCGTTGTCCTGCCTTTAAGGCTGTTTCACGAACAAATTCATTTTCATCTGCTAAAGCCTAAATTATAAATTTTATTATTTTTAAAATTTACTATACAATTACTAACTAAATTATTTAAGTAATTATATATAATTATAAACAAGATTACAATTTTGTAACATTGATAAACTTTTTCATACAATACTTTATAAAATTATATAAAGTACTTATACAGACACTAAATAAGTATTTTTAAAATATGTATTGAAAATTTCAATAAAATAAAAAAATTGTCCACCAAATTATTTTTATGATATGAAACTTACTTTTAAAATAGGTGTAATAATTTGATTTATGTAAGGAATAAAATCATCATTAAATACACCAGGCATATATATAAACATCATAATATAACCATCTTTTACTTGAGGAGCTATATCTGTACGCTCTGCAGTAGCAATAATTTCTATAAAGAAAAAATAAAAATATTTTATATAATTCATTAAACTAAGTTAATACATGTTATATATATTTGCATACAATTTACTTTCTAGATATTTTATTGCACTTTAATACAGCACATATTTTTAAAAAAATATTTTGTTTAACTATATTGTAGTACACTGTACTATATCATACTTAATAAATAATTTTATGTCATAAAACTCACAATTTATAACATTAATTTAATGTTAAAATTGAATAAACAGATAATAATTAAAATTAATACGCATTAAATGATAGATTGCACACAATGTCTATAAAATAAATAGGTAAATCTTGTATATCGGTGATTATACTCAACAATAGTACTCCAAATTTAAATAATTATTTCGATACATTTTGTATTACTAACCTGGCATTAAACTATGCAGTTTGCTTACTCCAAGTCCACCAACAACTTCACTCAAACCTTGAGCAGCACCTGATCTATCAACTGAACTGGCTTCTGATGTAAGAGTTTGCATTAACCATGGTAACAAATCCTGGAAACTTGTTTCTCCCATTCCACGAACCATGGCTCCAAGAGCACGAGCAGATACTGTACGGACTTCTGGCACAGGATCTAACAATGAATTTTTCAATCCAGGGATAATATTTGGCAAATATGGTGTTAAATCCTTTTGATCAGTTAGTGAATACATGTTGCCAATAATTTGAGCAGCCATTTTTCTAGTTTCGGTAGAACGATCTATAAATGCTCGTTGTACTACTGGCATAATTAAAGCTAAAGATGGAGCATCAATGAAATGAACAAATTTAGTGTTTAACAAAATTTGTAAACAGGGAGCAGTCTTATTTGATGGATTTTGAAGAGCTTCAAGAAGAACTGGTACAATAGCTAGATATAATATAAAATAATTTTATAGATATTTAAAGATATATAATAACAATGCTTTAAAAATACCTTGAATTTCAGGATTTCTTATTACTGATCCAATAACCTTTAAAGCTTGAGCTCCAGCTTCTTGAACACTAATATGCGAGTCACTTAAAACCTCTATTAATTTTGGTACAATACTAGGTAAACAGGATGATAATTGTTTAGGAGCACAGTAAGCCATTGCCCCCAATAACTCCACCGAGCCTAATAATGATGTATAGTAATAGTTTAAGGTAATATTATATCAGAGAAAAATTTAAAATTATTTCTTCTTACCAGTTTTTGTTCTCCATGAATCTCCTTCCAGTGCATTTAATAATGATGGTAAAATTAGTTTTACACCATGAGCTGACAATTTACTCATTATTGCTTTTGAACAGTCATAAGTAGCTGTTCTTACATATTCACTATTGTCACCAAAACATGATAATAGATGTGGTAAGACATGAACAATATATGGTTCAAATAAACGGCCTAATGTGGAACACAACATTTCAAATGCGAATAATGCACCTTCACGTTTTTTATAATTTTTTTTATCTTGAATAGCTTCAGTTAAAGTACTCATAATATCATATTGTTTCAAACTTAGAATACCAAGACCTTTAATAACACCAGCAATTCCATGTGCAGCACCTTTGCGTTCTCCAAATGATGCTGAATTGAAAAGACGACTGAGAAGCTTTTTTAATATAGCTGAAGCATCATCTTTCACTAATGGCATAAGAGGTGATAAGCAATTAGCAACAGCCTCTTGTACTTCTTGAGATGGTGTAGATAATGCTTCAAGTAATCTATTAGTTATAGGTTTTAATTTTGAATCATCTGAATCCAAATGTCTAGCTAAACTTCCCATACATACAACAACACCTAACCGAACATTATCAAAACTTTCAGAAGAAGTAGCTTTTTTAAGAAATTTCTCAAAAATATTCATCAAACGGTCAACATTATTTTTGCCATGTAAATTTACAACAGATACTGCTGCTTTAAGCATATATTTCCTTACAACATCATTTCTATCATTCAAACTTATAGAAACAAAAAAATTTACTAATTGTATAACCATATCATCACTTAATAATAATGATAATTGTTCTAATGCCATGGCTACACCAACTCGACCTTGCCAATCATCTAGTTCTATATTATCTTCTGGTTTCTAAAGAACAAATATAATACACAACAATTAGTAAAATTAGTAATAAAATTAATTTATAAACCACTATGATATAAATGTATTAATGATTTTATAATTCAAGATCTATGGCTCATGTCAATAAAAACAATTGTACTTAAATAAATTATAGTTTGATTTTAAATATAATTTCCATTTTTAATAAAAATATAGGATAAAATTAACCTAACAAACCAAAGACTTGCCAAAGTAAAAAAAAATAAGCCAAGGGAAATGGTATATTTAAGATGATATACAACTTTGTTAAATTGATTAAATTATAAAAAATATTGATTTATCTACTTAATACTCATAAATTATTCAAATTTTATAACCAAATAATAATTTATTTAAAAATTAGGATTGAATACCATAAAATCTTATTTTAAAAATTCCATCCAAATGTTGATTATTTTAATGAGAATTACATTATTTATTAAATAAACTTTTTCAGTTAAAAATCTAAAGATTTGAATTTTACAATTGTATGAGAAATTAAAATTAATTTTTTTATACAATAATTATTTATAAGTTTTAAATAAAAATATTTTAAAACATACCATTATGTTACTGTTGTACATTAAAAGTAATTTTTTTAATGCAATATTTGTGGAATTTATAGGAGAGTCTTTCAAAAGTGAAAACAGAGCAATAGATACAGCTTTTTGTACATCAGCCACTGGATGAACAACATCTTCCAATAAATTTTCTAGAAGTCCATTCATTTTTATTTCTAATTTTGAAGATTCCCACAGTTTATTTGCTAAATCTCTAAAAATAAAATGAATTATTCAATAGTAAGTCAGCAACTAAATAAATTTAAATTTGACATTAAGTTTATTAAACTGTGCAACTATACCTATTTTCTTCATAAACATCAAATTTAGTAATCCATATTCTTTTTGTAATTTTAAGTATAATTTGATTATCTTTTTTTGCCGTTGGAAAAGCATCTGCTACTTTTTGTAAAGCTCTTATTGCTGTATGCCTTACGTTTCGAGATGGATTTTGAAGTGCTGATAATAAACATACAATTTCATCACGACTAGCTGGATCACATTTTTCATCAGTACAACAACTATCAGCAACTGATAAAAATGCTGAAACAGCTGTATCTTGAAGATTGGATGATGTACGACTAATAATTTCAGACAAAAGCTGAAACATTTCTATACGAGGTAGAAATTTAGGTCGCTGAAGATCTGAACTGCTTTTTGCTTTTGAAGTAGCTTTAGGACGAACAGTGGCTTGATTTTTAATTAATAATAAACAATCATTGACCAATTGATGATTAAACGGTAAATCTAACATAACAGCCCTGATTAATGTGAAGGAATAACAAAATGCTGGCGATGTAAATTCTTGTTCATTTTTTGTTAAATCACAGAATAAATATACTATCCTCATTGTTGCTTTATCTAATGAAAAACATTATAAACAATAAATTATAACTTTATTATTTATTACAAATTAAATAGTTTTTTAATTAAAAATGTTAATTTTTTTACTATAAATGATTACTAATCAATACTCACCAATATCTTCTTTTAGCCAAGCATCATCTAATATACATTTTGGCTTTAATTTTCTGAGAGTATAGTGAGCAATAGCTTTAATAGAAGAATTTGATAACTTAATGCGACCATTTTTAACTTTGGATGAACTTTTTGTTTTTTTTGTTTCATCAGCATTAAATGCACAAAATGCTAAGTCTATAAATACATCTTTTAAAAGTGGTGCAGCTATAATAGATTGGAAATTATAAATAATTCCTGGGATTAAATATCTTAATGACTGAGAAACTAAAAGAGAATTTCCAGCAATAATTCCTCTCATCATAGATACCAAAGTCAATATTTCATCACTCATCTATCAAATAAATACAAATAATTATTGTTAATATAAAAATAGTACATTATAAGCATATACATAGATATATATATATTATACAAAACCAGTCATACTTTACAAATATAATAATACTCCAGGATAAACTTTTATTTATTTGTTTATTTCTATATTCATTTATGAATATTAACCATTTAATACTTTTTAGTTTTAATTTTTTTATTATATATATATAAATAAATATTTTTCTAAATAATTAATATGACAATACTAATATAATATACAAATTATAAAAGTATTATTTGTTTAATAAATAAATTTTAAAATTGAATAAATTATCAAAATGTATGAATTCATGATACATATTTTTTATCTTCAAAATTGTATTGAATCAAAAACATTTTTAATGAGGCATTTAATTTAAAAATCTTAGATACTTACATTTTTCAATTTGTTTCTTATTTTTAATTCTTTTTCTAACTCAATATCCATAGCTTCTTTTTGTTTAATTGAAAGTTCTGGCTTTTTAAGTTTTCCTTCTTTAATTTTTTTAGCTTCAATTTCTTTTCTTAATATTATTTCTTCTTGTTGTTCTTTATATGAATATGCTTTACTTTCTCTTTTCATGTTTTTAATATTAATGGTATTTTCATTTTCTTTACTGAAAAACAAATATAATAATAATTTTAAATAAAATATATTCTGTTAATTTATAACAACATTACTCTGCTAAAACTGATTTGTTGAACAATTCTCCTTCAGGGTACAAATAAATTTCATATTCCATTTCAGTTATATATATATATCTATCATTTTCTTCTAACTGTGATCGAATTTTGTTAATAACTGCAGGAATAAGTGTATCCCCGTTCATTCTTGTTACAGTACTTAATACATTCTCCATACACTAATAATACATTTTAATAATTATATTATTTATTAAATAGAAATAAATAATTTAAATAGTAATTATACAGTAAACTTCTTTGGCTATTATAAAATAACTTTATAATGTTTAATATGTAAAGTTGAAAATGACAATAAAAACTTACACGAGTAGGTATATAATCTTCAATAAGAAGTTTTATCAGTTTTTTTTCATATGATCTGATGAAAATTGATGGTTTCAATTGAAAACGATTCAATATTGTGAGCCATAAATTTGGAGCATAGGACTCTAAAAAATATATAAATATATTTATATATAACAAAACTTACAACATTGGGATATATAACAGGGGCAGCTCCAGAGCCTTGATTATGTGGGGGGGGGGGGGGCAAATTATAATTTTACAAAAACAACAATTTAAGAAAACAACAATTTTTACAACTTAAATTCAAGTCGTCTATTTTTAAAACTGGCAAAAATATCAATAATATGGTTTATATGATCTATAATATCTACTTTATGATATACATTAATTAGACATAATTCTAATAGCCTATCTTCAGTCATCCTTGAACGAAGGTAGGTCTCCGAAGTGTGGAAAAACTCCTTTCAACCATCATACCTCTGTGGCTCCTATCTACATACTTGTGCGTGTCATATGATAATCCATAATATAATATTCATTTTTTGTTAACAATATAAATTTTTTTTTAATACAGTACGGGCTTGAGAGGGGGGGGGCCTTGATATAGAATGCATTAACTAACTAAAATATTGTACTATATACCAATTAAAGGATGGTGTGAAGGTTTCAATGATTCATATGCTAAGATTTTTTGTTCGTCTTCTCCAAGATTATTATTTTGACATAAGATTAAAATAGTTTCCACTAAATGTTTAGGAGCAATTTCTAAATCATTCTATAACAATAAAAAATAACATTATTGACTTAAAAATAAAAAATAAATATTTTTATTAATTAAATAATTGAATACATTGCTTTCCAAAAAATGTGTAATTTCATTCAACAATGAAGCAGTCAATTTAGAACCACCAGGTAATGTTAAAGCTTTTAAAACATTTTTCTTGCATTGAATACGCATTGATGATTTAATAGATAAAAGGCTAACAATTATTGATCTTAAAAATGGTTCAATTGGACCATTAATTTGATCAAATTTCATGTTTAATACAAGTAAACTGAACATGCATACTCTGTTTAATGCTATATTTCAAACCAATTATATAAAAACAATAATTATTGAAAACTTTTCTTTTAATAATCTAATTTAACTAGGTATACCAGCATCAGTGAATTGAAATAAAAATTTTTCATTTAAAAATAATGCTTTATCTGGATTAAGGACCAAATTCCAAAATTTTGAAAATTCAACTTCATTGTTTAGTTTTGGATTTTCTTCTATGATTTTAAGTAATAAATAGGTAGCATATAATGTTTCAGTCACTACTGGTAGCTGTAAGATAAAAAAAAATATAATTTGAAGTTAAAAATGTAACATTGAGTGTAAAAAAATATTTGTTTATAAGTAATACATACTGGGGATGATTGAGAATATTTTTCAACACATTTCACCAATAGTGGTATAATACCAACTGCATACTTTGAGTATTCATTTTTGAAAATATGTGTCATACAGTCTATATAAGCTAACTTCACAGATAAAACTGAGGATTTTTTATCATATCCTTTCTAAAATTACAAATTATAATATTCAATAGTTTATAATTCAAAATTAACTTTTTTTGTAAATTTAAAAAACAAAAAAATTTCATACTTACAACAAACCATAAAAGTAATGCTTTTGGTATACTTTTTTTAAAATTTGAGCTCCATAATGATAACATTTGGATAGCATGTACCAATGTTTTTTCATGCAATTCATTATCCAACACTTTAATGAATTGATCTACAACTAACTCAGCTACTTTTTGAGAGTTATCATCATTAGTGATAGCATTAAAACTACAATTTCCTATGGCCTGAAAATATACAGATATTGTTTAACATTTCTATTAAACTGAATTAATCATACTTTAACAGAACATTATTTACTTGTAGAATATTAATTTTTTGTTCTGATGTGCTCAATTTTCCTTCAGAACCATGATAAATATTGAATAAAATATTCAATATATTAGAAACTACAGTTGAATCGCAACATTTAAGAACTAGTTGTTTACATAAATCGGCAGATTCAATTCTAGCTCTTTCATTTTGAGAATAAAGATTAGCTAAATTAAAATAAATAAATAAATAAATAAATATATTATTTTATTTTATTTGTGATAAGTCCAACTAACCAGAAAATCCTTTAGTAATTTCAATAGCATTAGCACTTAAATCTAAGGATACATTGGAAATAACTGTAGCAATACATTCTAATATCACTTCAGGATTACGAAGCATAGATTTTAAAATAGGAGGCAAAAGTTTTGACTTGAATACATCATATGTAACTAATTTCACTGTAAAAGAACATTGCCTGATCAATTCTTGCTCTGGTCGTGTTTTGCAAGCTATTGCTTCTTTAATGAACACTTCCAAAAATGTTTCCTTCAATTTTTAATTTAACTAATTAATATAAAATTAAATATTAAATAATAAAATAGTAGATATAATACCTTATATTGATTGGCAAGATCCGAATCAATAGACGACATTGATTTAAGCAAATAAGATTCAATAACCAATAAGTAAGATTTTGAATTTAATTCTTTTAAGTATTCTCCACAATATTTTAATGTATCATTTTCATTTGTCCAAATATCATTCATAACATTAAATGACTTTTCACATAAACTAAAATTAGAATGAAATATATTTCAGTATATAATATACACCATACAAAATAAATAATACTTACTGTTTATTTTTTGATATTGCTATTGCATTTATTAGTATTGCTTGTAATTCAATAAGATGTTTCAATTCGTTTATATGTGAATTTTTATAATCTTTGAATGATGCTTTAAAAATAATACTTATAACTTGTAATATGAAGAAAGCTGTTTTAGCTAAATTATCCCTGCAAAATCAAATTAATTTTCACTCAAAATTATTCAGATCACAAGAGTTGTATTAAAATTAAAAGTAGTAAAATTTGATGTTACATCTAGTATTTATTTTTAATTAACTTATTTATATTTTTAAACTTGTTTTAAACAATTAAGCCCAAAAATTAGATATATAACAGAAACATTCATAACTTTGAATTTACAATTTATCAGATAAATTTAAGAATTAAAAAGTTCTTACGAAATATTGAAATGAGGATAATTATTAATGTATTCAGCCAATATTGGAGTCAAATTAACTAGGCAAGCTTCTGGTTTAGACACCATCAGAACTTTAACAAATTCTTTGACGTATGATTGTGATTTTAGGTCTTGATATCGACTTAAGACAATTATTAAAGCATTACTTATGCTAACCCAAACATCATTTGTAATATCTGAAAATAAATATAAATGAATACCATATAGGTAATAAATAGTACAAAGGTTTATGAGGAATACTAAGATCACTATATTACTAGTATTTATAAACACTTACTAGATTTAACTGCATTAGTAGCATTTTTAAATACAACTTTTCGTTCCTTAAGACTGGACGACAACGTTTTCAAATAAAAATCCGAAAAATGTTTAGTACTCTACAAAAAAAAAAAAAAAATTGTAATAAAAATTCAATTTTATAAGCAAAAATGATTTATGAACTCACTCCTTTGAGGTCAGACATGGTGAAAATTTCCAATTATCGTATAGTCGAAAATCAAATGACAAAAAACATGTTTATAACTATCGAGTACACAGAAAGTACGAAAGTATAACTATGAACTTAGATGTGAAAAATGAAATGATAAAAAACCGATCAGTAGGAACATAGTAACGCTCTTTGCAAACAATTATTGTTGATAATCAGATAATAAATAATTATATACAAGTTGTAATGTGTCACTCTTTCTTTATGGTCACACTGTTGTTAAGAGCTTTTCAATGAAATAATGGAAAGTATTCACATACCAAATAATAATAATTAAATTAAAAAAACTTAGCTATTACTTAATAGTTAGAAACTATAGATATTATACAATTAACGATTTAAAGGTTTAGGAATCATAAAAGCTAGGTAACAAATTTATAGATTTCAAGGCCGTAACTGAAAAAAAATTTCGGGGAGGTCTAACATTATTATTTAATACAATTTATAGTTAATAAACTATATTCACCGCTAAAATGTTTTTACTTTTGAAAATTTCAAAGGGGCCCTGACCCCTGAACCCCCCCCCCCAGTTACGGCCTTGATAAATTTATCGAATACATAAGTGGAATTGATTCCCGGGTCAATTTAAATGTACGAATTGGTTTCCGAAAAAAATACTTTCAGTATACAACTGTTCGAATCAGTGTTGCCAGTTATAATTTTTTTAAAAAGGTATGAGTACTATCACAAAAAGCCAGAAATCGGTTAAAAAAAAAATCGATTAATAACAAACATATTAAAGCAAAAATAAAAATATTAATACTTTTAAAATGTTGGCAATTTCCATTTTTTTTATTTAGTAAAGCTATTAATCTTTTTGTCATATTTTACAAGTAAATAATATTATTAGAACATTAATATAATAAATAAAGATATTAAATAATTATAATTCATAGTTTATTCAATTTTAATGTTCTGTGCAGTCCAACATTAAAACAACAAACAAGTAAATAAAGTAAATAAGTAATAAAAATAACAAAACAAAATTGATAAGTAATACTTAAAACATTTTAAAATAGTGAATTAAAGTCTTTTGAATTACGAATCTACAATCATGGAACGAACTAAGATATACTAGTCCGAAGTGTAAATAACTATTTTTTTTTTTTTTCATTAAACATTCCTAGCCTAAGGCTATCTAAATCCAGGGATATTTGACGGTTTACATAATAGTTTTAACATTATAACATGATAATTAAAATATTTTTAAGTACGAAGGATAATATTAACAATTGGTAATAAAAATACAGAAGTAATAAGGTGATTACAATAATATTCTGATATTTACATATTTACAATAGTAACTATAGTAACTGTAATGTTAGAGTGATCTGGAAGAAGCGCATGTGTATGGTGAAGATTTGAATGTTGGGAGGTGGCTTAGTGTAGGAGGTCGTGGGGACGACCACGTTTTATTCGACAAAGAGTTGGGTGGGTGAGGAGGTTGTAGTGAATTACACCTGATGAGTTTGGAAGAGAGCAGTGGAAATTCTTTGCTAATGTTATAATATGAGCTTGTATATCTTGGATTTGAAAGTCTTTGTGGAGATTTGCATTTCTGACAAACCACGAAGCATTTGCAATTATTCTGAGGACTTTGTTTTGGACAATTTGCATTTTTTTGATGTGCGAGGATGCACAATTACCCCATACCGGGCAAGCGTAGGTAAGAATTGGGCGTATAATTTGCTTAAAAATTATAAATAACTATTAAGTAGATATGAATATAAATCCGATTCGTATTTAACAACCACAGATAAATATAATTTGTTTGATAACAACCATAAATATAGTTTATCATATGGAGTGATAACGAAAACGAAGAGAAAAACTCATGATATCAATGTCGTATAATATTATATTTATATACACCAACAATTAATTAAAATATATTATATATAACTTAAATCAGAATTAAGCTAGTTAAAAACAATTAATGGGTAGAAAAAAGCCAGGAGCTAGATTGGGTATTTTATCAGTCAGAAAAGGCCAACATGGCATCATCGGTTTGAATTGGTTCCCGAATAAAATTACCTTTCAGTTTATCAGTATACAACTCAGTGTCGTATCCAGATTTTTTTTTGTATGGGGGGGGGAGGTAGAAAAAATGTAACATTAGATTTTTTTTTAATTTTTGTGTGCTTTTATTATAATAAATAGACAATAACCATACTGTTGCCAATCGTTTCATGGAAAACTGAATTCTAAATTTTATTCCGTCCACCCAAATATTTTTTTATTGATTAAAAATTCAGTGCAATGCGAACAGAGACGGATTTACACAATTGCCGCCCCTAGGCAAATTTTTTTTTGTCGCCCCATTAAACTTATCAACGAAAAAACGTATTTTTAAATACTTATTTAACTACAAAAAAATAAATTATAAAGACTGATACTAAACAATAATTAATGGCGGTTTTGCTAATTAACTGTTCTTATCAAGTAAATAGTATACCAATACAACATTTATTAAAATATAATTACAATATATCACCATTTTTTTGAATAAATTTGCTCTACCAAATAAATATAATTATAATATAGATAATATAATTAAGTTCCTTCAAAAAATTAATATTTTTAATCAAATTTAAATTATACAAGGTATTATAAAAAACAAAAGCAACTAATCAAACATAAAAATTTGTACTTATTATTATACAACATATAAAAACAGTGTAAAAAAACTATTTAATTTGTTTGCATCTTGCTTTTTTTTCCACAAAATTTTGAATTATGTCTTCAAATTGTATTTCTTGTGTCATTTCACTTTCAATCGACAAAATCGCCAAGGAGTTTAATTTTTCTTGTCCTAATTTTGAACGTAAATAAGTTTTTATCCGCTTCGAAGAAGAAAATGATCTTTCCGCAGTACAATTAGTGGAAGGTGTTGATAAAAATATAAATTCTCAAAATTATTTCTGTGTTTGGAAACAACGGCTTTAAGTTATTTTTATAAATTATTTCCAATAGTTTTAATGCAGTGAATTTTTCTTTATTATATTTAGAAATTAAAAAAGATCGAAAATGTAATAGTTCATGCTCAAACGCATCATAATCTGTATCAGTTTTATAAATTTGGCAAAGTTTTTTAGCTTTTTCTGATATTTCATTTTGCTTCATGTTTTTAATTGTGTTTATAAAAGAAAACGGTTCACAAAAATATTTATAGTCTTTACGTCTTTTTTGAAGCTCATTATTTAATTTATCTATTATTGTTAAATATGTATTGATTCTAAAATGATTTCTTCCTAATAACTGAACATCATCTTGTCTTAATTCATCATATGGGATTGTTCTTTTCTTTTTTCTTGAAATTGTTGTTTTATATTCTTTGATTTGAGCTCGTAAAATTGCCATTTTCTCAAATTCATCAAAATGATCTATCTGAGATAATATTAAATTTATTAGTGAATCGTACAACTTCAAAACTACTGTAATAACTATTTCAACACTTTGAAGTTTTTTACTTACAACATTTAATCTGTTTAATATAAATCCTCAAAATATAGCCATAAACGTTGTCTCGAATTTTTCAAATTTCTTACGCAATCCAGAGACTTCTTTTCGAGTTTCAGCTGGTTCATTATGGTAATTTTCAAGTAAACTTAAAGTTTTTAATATCTCATCCCACGAATCATTTAAACTCACACAAGCATCATCTCTTGATGACCATCGAGTTCCTAAAAGACGTTTTAGTCCTTTTGATTCAGACTTTAAATTAAACATTAAAACTTACCATTTGTGAGTAGATCCGGAAAAAAATGTATAAAGAACACGAGGAAAAAATTGAGCAGCTTCATTAGAACATCGCACAGCATGAGTACCAACTAAATTTAATGAATGCGCCGCACATGGTCTATATACAGCAAGGGGATTTAATTCTTTTATTTTTGCCTGTAATCCGTTATAATGTCCAGACATATTATTAGCAGTATCGTAAGCCTGGTCTCTGCAATCATTTATATTAATATCAAGGCTTTCCAACCTGTCTAAAACGGCTTTTTTCATATCGTTAGCTTTATGTCCACAACTAGGTATAAATTGAATGAAACGCTTAATAGGAATACCTTCATATTTATACCGTACAATAAAAGACAGTTGATCTATATGTGTTATATCAGGTGTGAAATCAATAATCAATGAAAAGCATTTGCATTTTTTAATCTGATCAACAATTGTATGGATTATTTTATTTGCCATAATTTTCATAATATTTTCATGAATTGTAGACGATAAATAAGATGTATGACCACTGCCCGGATTTCCATATCGTAAAATATGTTAAGCTAAAAATGGATCAAATTGTGCTACAAGCTCAATTGCTATTAAAAAATTACCATTATGGACTGAACCAATAACTTCATTTTGACCTCTAAATGGAAGTCCACGCGATGATAATGATTTTATAACGGCTACAACTCTTCGTAAAATATTTTTCTAGTAAGATATTTCATCTTCAAGTTGTGAAAAAAGCTTTTTATCAATACGATTAGTAAGATTTGCCCTAGTTTTCATTATTATAAGGGTTGTTTATGTTTTGTAGAACATTCATGTTGCTTAAAACGAGATTGTGCGTTTTTCCAATTATTAAAACCTTGCGCTGATAAATAGGATTCATCATTACGACTTGAAAAAAAAAAAACATGGTCCACAAAATGCTTTACCTGTACTTTCAAAGTAGACTAACCAAAACCTCTCGACTTTTTCTCCATTTGGTAATAAACGTTCAAACATATTTTTCGTCATACATCTAGATTCTAATTTAGAATTTATAAAATCACAATTTTTGTTTATATTAACATCAAAACTATTTATAGAATAATAATCACGCGCTTGTTCGTTGACAGTCCAAAATGCCGGATCTTTATTAAAAGAAAAAGATGATTCAAGAATATTACATGATTCAGGAATGCTAATTTTTTCGTGAATAATGTCTTCTGTCGTTAAATTGGGAGTTTCTTATTCAGAATGACTTGTAATCTTATTTATTATTTCCGTGTGGAAAACGTAGGTATCAGTAGGTATTAATTTATTCATTTTTTCTGCCGTTAAATTATTTAATTCAGATTCAGAAGAATTTATAACCTTATTTATTTCCACACCATCAGTAGGTATTATTACGTTATTGCTTTGATCTAATACAGAACTATTCGAATGTCTCGAATTCACATTTGTTTGATTTGCATCGTCAATATTTTTAACAAATAAAAATTTATCCAGTTTTATGGTTTGACCAATAGTTTTTTTTCTCTTCCTTTTCTCTTACTGCTTTTTTATATTGTGCTCTGCTCAATCTCTTTCTATGCATTTTTTTACCAATAAAAATCAAATTTTAACGGTGAAAGTATTTACCTATAACACACCGTGTAGAGAATAAAAAATCGTCAAGTGTTTTATTTAATGGGCTTGTAAAAATTAAATAATCAAGAATTTGGAATTCCAAATAAGAACTAATGCTTACGAATATTCATAAAAATAAAATTCAGTTTTGCAAGCCTATAGCACTAATTTATCGCTATAATATTACTATAGTATTTATAAAATATAGTGTTTACTCACCAATAATTTAAGTAATATACTAATATCTGAATATTAATTCTATCCGCCTTGAATGTTGTGTTGAAAATAATCGGATGTCTAATCAGAATAAACCTATTCTCTACTCGGCCGCCCTCTATTTCATAGTCACGAAGAAAAATTAACAATTATTATAATAATTTTATCTTTCGGAAAGAAAAAGTGTTATTTTTGTACACATAATACGTAGTACGTACGAGTATATTATATACAAATATTCACAGTGACTGGTTTATAATTAGACTATCGTTCTAATACGAACCGATTGTCACTCGTATTCGTATAAAATATATCATATTATATTATATATGTATTGTCCATGTAGTGTATACGCCGTGCGATCGAACGACTTACGAGCGATTATTAATAACTTTACGACTTAAAAAAATAAAATAACGAAATATGTTATCTATGGTTAGTATTTAGATAATAAATATACTTTCCGGCAGTCGTTCGATAATTTACTTGGACGTTTACTGTTATGTATTATAAAATAAAGAAGAAATTATATTAACTAGAATATTATGTTAGACTTAAATATTAAACATTTTTATTTGACATCCTTCAGAGTAATCACCGTACATTAAAAAATCAAAAAAAAAAAAAAAACCTAGAGTATTCTTAATAAAATATTGGCCTAAAATTGCTGCCTCTAAAAATTTGCCGCCCTAGGCAACTGCCTACTTTGCCTGACGCTAAATCCGCCACTGAATGCGAAACATATATAAAATAAAGAAGCTCACTTAAATTAAAATAAAAAAAAAAAAAAAACTGGTGAAAAGGAAAAGTTTATGGATTAAAATATTAAAAAATTGAAAGAAGGTCAAATTTCGAACCTACAGTTCGTTATAAATGCGTGTTGTAAATTCATACCACACTAATTTTTTGCTCTTATTATTTACCTATTATGGCTTATTATTACATAATAATTTGAAAAGTTACCAAGGTACCACTAACAAAACCGACATTCCTGAAAAAAGTTTTTTTTTTGAGTTGTTACTGTTTTGATATAGGTGTGCGATGTATTATAATATATTGATATGAAAATGCAGAGTATTTACTTTTAATGTTTATTACACACAATACTTTTTTTATTTATGAGAAAAATTAATTAATTATAGTAATAATCAGGGGCGCAATTTCAATGAAAAAACTGTCGTTGCTGAAGCCCTTCTATCTTTTTCATGTTCCTTAATGGTTATATATACACCCGCAACCCGTACAATTCAACAGTTACTAAAATGCGAGTTTTGCTGTATTTGGTAAATATTTGAATATTTCTAAATTTAGATTGCTCACTTTGATTTTATATTTTTATTACACATATAACAAATTACCTGTCTGTAAACACAAATGTTTCATCACATAATCACTTTTAGATTCTAAGTGAATATTATGGTTTTATTTTCTTTTTTAACACTTTTTCGCATAGAAATACTGGCCCGAAAGCTTTTTCTAGGAACTTTTTGGATTTTAAATTGGCAGGCGGCTGTACTCATTTTTTTTTAAATCTTAATAGTTTTTCCAGGCGTGAGGAAAAAACTGTCCTGAAATGGTAAAAATACGCTGTAAATAAGACTTTCACTTTTCAGATTTTAATTATTTAGTCAAAATTCCAAAAGTAATGTGGCTAGAAACTTGAAACTTTTACCCTATAGCAAAGATATTTTTTTTTGTATTTGATAAAATTTTCAAAAAACAATTTTGATTTAAATATAGAACTTTAAAAATACCTAATTTTTTTAAAATCTTTATGAAATAAATTATTTTTTTTTTTGGATATTAAGTGAAAATCACCTTAATTATATACGAGTACTTATTTACGGATACTGAAATTTAAAAATTGTTAGTCCGAAATTTATTTTATCAGCGTTTAAGTAAAATATTATCCGATATATAAGACCATTGATTATAAATACTATAGTATTTATAATCAATGATACAACCAAATCATCACCAACATCCGTACTTCTATTTTGAACCAAAAAATATGGATAAATATAGACGAAACTACAGACGCCGAAGGTCGTTGTATAGCTAATTTGATAATCGGTACGCTTTGTTCAGATAATCCCGGGAAAACATTTTTGTTAACATCTGTATTATTAGATAAAGCAAATCATCAAACGATTTGTAAAGGTTTGCACACACTGCAGCGGTACCGGTGGAAATTTTATAGCTTGCACAAACTGCGGTGGTAATGATGACTGGTGGATTTTTAATTAACTATTTAAATTCCCGGGAAATAATAAACTGTCATAAATTCAAATTGTATTGCGGCGATTTTCCAATGTTATATAATTTATAATAACATAAATAAATAGTTTTGTTTAGATATTTTAGAGTAGTAGATAATTATAACTATATTATTTATTAATTATAATTATTAATAATAATATATAATAATAAAATATGTTGATGAATGCTAAATGTTAATTTCACATAACTATAGGTACATAGCTTTTCCTTATCTTGTATACAGTAATAACTAATAAGTAATAAAATGCTATTTGAAATACTGGCATTGCATTTAATGACGACGAATTTCAAGTGAAATATCAAAAACCGCTGGGCGGTAGCTGTAAAATTCGAGCATGCAGTGGTTTCTATAAAAACCGCGTCGCGATATTATTACCGCACTCTAATCACAATACATGGGATACAATTTACCGCTACCGCTGCAGTGTGTGCGGACCTTAAGTTATTTGATAATTCTTTATTTTTACTTTGACCGGATGGGTTATGCAGAGATGATGTTTTGCTTTTTATCACTAATGCTGCACCATACATGGTCAAAGCAGCCAAATCTCTAGATATATTTTATACAAATATGATTCATTTAACATGCCTGGTTCATGGACTACATTGTATCGCTGAAGAGATACATAAACATTTTCCAAAGGTAGATAATTTAATTTATAATGGGAAAACAATTTTCCTGAAAGCATCGTCACGTGTATTATTTGTTAAAACTGAGTTACCCGATATTCTGTTACCATCTCAACCAATAATTACTAGGAGGGTACTTGGTTAGAGGCTGCTATTTATTATTCTGATCATTTTCAAGATTTTAGTGGCATAGTAAATACGTTTGATAAAAACGAGGCTGTTTCCATACAAATTACACAAAATTTAATTCAAGATCCAAATTTAACTAGTTATCTTGCTTTTATAAAATTGCACTTTAATTTTTTGTCAAGAAGCATAACTTTATTAGAAAAAAAAAAAATCATCTTTATACGATTCAATTAATTTGTTGAAAAATGTTGAAAATAATATTTCCAAAATACCAGGAAACATTGGAAAAATAATTCAAGAAAATTTTCAAGCTGTTATAAAGAAAAATAATGGCTATGAAACCTTGAAAAAAATCTCTGCATGTATTGATGGAACAAATGGAACTTTGGAAAATATAGAACAAAATTTCAGTCCCAACGACGTATCTCTTTTTAAATACGCTCCCGTCACATCCATCGACGTAGAGAGAAGTTTTTCGAGGTTCAAAAATGTGCTGGCTGATAATCGACGAACTTTCACGTTTGAAAATTTGAAAAAAACTTTCGTGGTACAATGTAATGCGACTGTTTTTGGTATGTATTTATTTATGTTTAGTCACATAATTTGTTTTATACAAATATTTTTAATATTAATTTTTCAGATTGAAATTAAAATATTTTCAACCCAAATAACTTAAAAAATATAATATAAAAAATAATATAATTTTATGTAAATATCTATATAAAAAATAATGTAAATAAAAGACTTTTTTAATCGATTTTTTTCGTATATTTTTTTCTTTTATAGGGCATATTCCTACAAAATAAAAGTATAAATGCATATTTTTTAATGTATATTTCTTAGGTTTTTATAGCATATAAATTCGGGCCCTACTTATAACAATTTAAAATAACCTTATCAAATAAATAAAAAAAAAAATTAAAATTATTTACATTGTATATTGCTTCTTATTCTATTATACGTAATACCTGCACAATCAAGTCAATTAAGAAACAGAACTGAAAAAAATTTTGATGAATTTAATTTTAATTCATAATCATCGATGAACTAACAATTATTTTATATACCTAATTGATATTCTATATATAACAATAGTCCATAAATCTATAACAGTTACAACCTATTAACAATGCAATTGAACATTGAGACCTAAAATAGTGTAGATAGTTAAATAATTTAAATTTAATACTTTTGCCTAGGAAAGAAAAATCAAATAATAATATAACATATTTATTTATAAAATAATATACAAAACGTTTAATTATTTAATAGGTATATAAATATAAGATACATTAACCATGTAAAATAGTATTTTTAAACAATTGTTTTAAAAATCCAGAATTAATTTTGATTTTTATCACTATTATTATTATTATTATTATTATTAAATTGAAGTACTGAAAATTTAAATATATACGTTGTTATTTACAAAAATGTTTTATTTTTATTTCTATGTTTCATTCGTATCAGTGGCGTCATTTCCATTTTTTTTTTTAATACGCATGGCGTATAGATCAGGCCATTAAGCCTATTTAGAATTTTCAACACAACAAAAATAAAATAATAATATTTTTACCATTTATTAATGACAACATAATAATAATGGTATTTATTAAATCATTTAATTAAGAAAAGCAGTAAAGCTAGAGATGACAATAAATATTGTAATAAAGCCTTTATTAGGTACAGTTACAGTTATATAGTTATATATTTTGTTAATATTTAAAAGGATACCAACACATCTTCAAACTTATTTACAGATAAAATATCAACACATAAAATATTATTTAGGTAATCTTTTAATATTTTCAATTATCAATAATAGATTATCATTATGAAATATGAATTACTGGGAATGGGCTAGCAGCTGATGGATAATGAAAGCTGATAGATAATAAAATAAAATTATAGTAATTATATACATGTTGCATGATAACGATTTACGATTCATCGCGATAAGGAATATTTTGATAATTTTGCAACGTAGTGTCTCATGTTTTTGTTTTTTAAATAAGAAGAAAAACAAAAATTAATTAAAAAATAAAATATATTGACTGCAAATTACTATCAATAATTATTTAGGCCAATAAATTTATAAAGTGGGCCAAATTACTACAATAGTGGATTTTAAATACGCAAATGTATACCTTGCGCGGTCCAAATGATGCCACTGATTCGTATGCTCTATACATATTACATAGGTAGATTATGCATGCTTTAATGTATTATTTATCAAATACATAAATTGTGATTCAACAATAATCGGTATAACAATATAAAATGTATACATAAAAACATAATACAACTATTTTGAACTATCGATACAAAATTAATATATGGAAGATAATTGAGTATAAAAAATTGATTTTGCACAAGTAATTAGGCAATAGGCGCACGTCTATAGACATAAAAGGTACTTTTTAAAATACCGCTTGTATTATTAATAAACTTAAACCCTTACTAATCCTAATAATACCTGCCCCAAAATGTTGAATTGTTGCTTGGGAAACATTTTTATCCTGTGTACACGCCATTGAAAATAGTTGAACAAAATTTAAAATGTTTCCAATAACATCGAAATAAATACTAGTAACGGTTAATATTTCTATTTTGTTTTTTTAATGCATCTAATAAATTCTTTAATTGTTCTCTGCGGCTCAATGTATCTTGTGAATATGTATTTTGCTCGTAGAAATAATTAAAATCATTTTTATTAAATGCATCATTTTTGTGTCATTTGCTTGGTAGTATATTGTGTGCTCCACTAAAACAAAAACATTTATAAACATATCAACCATTAAGGACGCTCCATTCTATGCACATTTCGTGTTTCATGCGTGAATTGTGTGTATGGTTTTTTCATGAAAAATGTTTTCGTGAAAACTGTTTTGTGGTGTTTCGTTACTGAGCTGGTAAATGTATGAAATCAAAGAACATGAACAAACAGAGGCGGATTTATCTTTTTTACGGCTATAGGCACCAAAAATTTGCCGCTCCTATAATAGGTGAAAAAGTTACAATACCCCTCCAAAATACCTATTCTAAATATTTAATATATAGACAATGTAGTGGACATCCATTTTAATTTTTAGACTATTTTTTTCGCCTGAAGTTATTTAGCCTATTTTGAAAAAAATGTCAATGGTTGTTCATTGAATTTGAATAAAAACCTACAAAATAAAATAAAATATATAGTATTATCAAAAACTGCTTTCTATATAATTGTTTACTATAATATTTATAGGTAATGATTATAAATTATAATGAACCAAAATAGATTGGTATACTGAATATCATATACGATGTACTATATGTTTGATCGTTTGATGTTTTTTAATAAAACACTACAAAATTTGCCGCCCCCCAAATTTTGCCGCCCTAGGCAGCTGCCTACAATGCCTAATGGGAAATCCGCCTCTGTGAACAAATAAAATTTTATTCTTTTTTGTTGTTTCGCGTTGCCTTTAAATGTACTGCGAAATACTACAAAATGCGTAACGTGCGTAGTACGGAGCGACCTTTTTAGTATAAGTTGTTATAAAATAATATTTAGTAATATTTGTATAATCTAGTACTATTTATAACAAATTGGTTATTATACATCTTTTTTTACTAAATATTACTATTAATTAATATTTATATTAAGTAAAAAAAAATGTACCGATCGGCACATTAATAATTAATCGTAACATGATGAAACTTAAATAAGTGGAAATCTAATTAGAAGCAATTCAATTCATAATGTTTAATTAGGAGTATTTGAGAATGAATGATAAAAGGGATGCACTTTCACAATATATTGCGATTTTTAATGCATGTTGAATATTAATTTTTATTATTTTATACAATATAATTAATTTTTATTTATAATTTATAAAAAGGATGGGCAATTCAAAGTTACTAGAGGGCCAATTTTTAGAAAATTAAAATCCAGCGGGCCAGACCATAGGAAAATAAAAAAGGTCATTCAAAATATGAATTTTTATTAGCATTTATATATATCGAAATAATAGATTCAACACACACAACAGCATGACACGAATGATACGAAGAAACTGATATAGGTAGTTAAATAGTTTGCTACAAACAGCTATGGTGGAAAGCTATCGGTGCAACATGATGTTGTACATAAATTATTATACATAGTACATATACACATATTATAATTTGGTGCGCAATGGTGTTGCGATTATATCAGGTAAAAATGGATCTGGGCGCAATCGTATTGCAGCCAAAGCTATACGTATACATACATATGACATTTATATACATTTGTCAATATTCAATACCAGATAACAATTATTATATCGATAAACTTTAAAATTGTATGATGTTATTTGAAAATATAGCACGGGCCGTCAGCTGCCCACCTCTGATTTATAACATTGATAACTCATTACTATGGATTATTTATTGTATAATAATGAGTCAAAAAGTTATTTACATCGACACACACATACTATTTCATAGCATGTAATCTAATAAAGTAACTATTTGTATACATATTTTCATACTGATAAATCTAAAAAGTCAATAGTTTAGTATCTCATTAGGTTTGAAATTAAATACTTAAAATATAAATTTTTAATTTTTCCCTTTTTTCCCCCACTCAAATGTATAGATATTGTGAAGCCCTCCAGTGTAGCTGAATGGAGTTTTAATTAAAAAATAAGGCAATGAATAATTAACGGCACTTAGAGTAGACTAGTGCTCTGCATGGTTCGGTATATATTAGTCTATACCAAGGTCTAGTCTGATCCGGTCTTATTGTATAAAATAGGTGATGAAGGATTGGTTCGGTCCGAATCCATATATTTACGGAAGATTTCGGTCCGATCTTGGTTTGAACTATTATCATTTTAGTTCGGTCCAGACCAGTTGATCCCGATTATGCGGTTACGGCTCGATTAAATCCATTTAACAATGATTTTAATTTTTAAAAACATTATTTATGTGATATATAACACTTATTTTATCATGGGAATTAATATTTTACCCCTGCGCCGTTGTTTTATGTACGATGTTTAATGTCCGGTCTCTGTCCACTCTAACAAATTATTTTAAATTTTCAGTCCGGTCTGGTTTTAAAAAAAAAATTAGGTTACATTTCAATGCGATTTTGATCTTTTGTTAACATTTTCAGTCCGGATCGGTCCTTAAAATTACAGACCGTGTAGATTACTAGTGTAGACTATTTATTACATATTTATTGTGATAATAAACGATTTTTATGTCGTACTTAAGATTTATAAGCTATGTACATTGTAGAAATATAGAATTTATTATTTATAGGTATACACATTTTTTCAATTATTATTTTTTTATCACTATAAATCCAATCGATATTTATTTTATTATTATACTGCAATTCAATATTATAAATAATGTAATATAAGCATTATTGACATTTTTCAGTTTATGTTTTACCTTTGGGCATGATATAAACTTCTAATTTATTATACTTATATACATAAGAAATTATACAATCACTATAAAGGTACATTATAATATATAAAAATAATTGAAACATTTTGCATATAAAAATAAGTATAAACGATAAAATACGTAGTACAGGATATGTTAACGATATACTCATTTACAAATGATACCTACCTACTTGTTTTATATACAACTTGTAATGATGTGTATGTACACCAATTTTACAACTTCTCATTTAAAAAAATGGTAATTATCTTACTTGCTTCCTTGACTGTTTTTCAGCAGATAAGTATAAGAGCAAGATAACACAACACCAATAAACTGAAAAATATTTTATTTATACAAACATTATAAAAAATATAAATACATAACACAATTTATCACTCAAAATTATACACTAATTCAATTTGTCACTCATAATTCGTTTCAAATACATTATGTACAAGTTTTTTACTTAAAAATTATTTTTTAATTATTGAATAAACAAACCTATTTATTTGATAAATATTCCAGGAATTATTTTAATTTTTATTCGTTTTTTTTCAAACAATTTTTTTTACAATGAACGGATTTTTTTTGAGATAAACGATATTTTAATAAATTATTTTTAGTATAATGAAATCAGTCGTAAGATTCGACACTTATAATGTATTAAAAATTTTAAATTCCAAAAAAAATATATAATATAAAATGTATAGTGCAATAGTGCTATGTTATTTTAATTTTATAAAATGTTTTTTGAAATTAACTAAAAAAAATATTTTGAATAATATATTATCCATATTTAATTATATTCCTTAGTTAACGATTACTATTTTTAAAGTTGAGTATTTTATTTAATTTTGGTTTTATACCCGTATTAGGTAAATAGATAAATTATAAATGTAAAATTTATTTTTTTGAACTCGGAATAATTGAATATTACAGTTAATAATTATAATTTGTATCCATTTTATTCTTACGTTTACATATGGTTCCTATTGTACATATATAATATATTTGGAATCATACAGATAATTGGACCTCGATTGAGATTGAATTTAAATAAATGTGTTAAGATTTTTACATTTTTCTAACTTATTATGATAATTTAATTTTTTTTATCTCAACTACTGAAAATTTATTATATATCTCAATTTTCTACAATGAATTGTTTGACTATATTCGTGCCATTATATTTAAGCTATTTAAAAAAAAAAAAAAATATCTGAAAATATATATAAATAAATATTATATAAATAAAAATATCAATAATAGATTTACCTGCAGAAGAGCAAATGCCAATGCGATGTACATTACAATGGTTAACCTATTTCTCACTCGACTGTTTAATATATTATAGCATCCTTTTTGATATATAATCCTATCATCAAATAGATTTCTGCACAACGCTCCTACTTCAATTGGTAAATTTTGGCAACATGTTACAGGAACTAAGTTTTCTGGAAATATAATCGACCAATCTCTTGGTGTGTCTACTCCACAACATTCTAACTATATGAAAATTAAATAAGGATAAATACATATTATAATTATCATTTTTATATATTATATTTATTTATTCATATACGTTAATCTGCAATTTAGAAGGATTAATGAGAAGTTTGATTGGTAAGTAGTTTGATAAGGAGTAAAGAGTTTCAAAAATATTATAACAAATGGTGTTAACGTTTATTTTAAAGTTAATAAGGGTAAAAATTAACGTTTAAGACAACCAGATAAAAAATTAAAAAGGAAATAAAGGTTTGCTGAATGTCTGTGATCAGATAACCTGTGAAGTTAAAATGTTGGATGGGAGAATTATTGTGTAAAGGATATTGAATATGAATAATAAATGTAGTCAAACGATAGAATATCATAAGAACCTTTTGAATCATTTTATTAGAGGATTTGAGTGGGTTCCAAGTTACGGAATAATATTCAACAATGTGATTAAAAAAGGAATAATTTAAGCTTTAAGTAAGGAAAAAGTATGACATTTATCATTTACGGGATATATATAGATGAAAAATCTTAAATATATTAACTTACTTTTCGTTGAACTACAGCCCACGATTGACGATCATTTTCTTCAAATGAATATTTTCCCATTGAGGTTTTTAAAGAAAATCTTAAATTATTATTAAAATTGTCTTTGGATATTGATGACATAATTGCTAAAAATACTTCCATCAACAAAACTGATAATAAAAGTATGGTAAACTATAAAATAAACAACGATCATTAATTTATAATATAGTTATTATTAAATAACACGGATGTGTATAAAAGTAAACTAAACATTAAAAAATATACCAACCACAATTAAATAGTTGACATTTTCTTTATCGATACAATAGAATCCAAATATACTTGTAGCTATAATAAATATACCCAAAACAATAAATAATATTGGTGGAGCTGTAATCGAAACACTTAAATAATTTGAAAAACGTCCCAAATCTACAATAACTATAGTGCCAATTATTATTAAAGCCACACCCGTGATCTAAAAATCAAATTATTTTATATTTTAAAATTTTCATAAATTACTTAGTATTTAAATAGTATATGTTTACCCCAAATATCACATTAAAAACGTATAGCATATACTTCACGATAAAAATACTTCTCGTTTCCATTATATCTTAACAAATGTTACTTATTTGTATCTGAAATGAATATACATAAACATAAATATGTTATAATTATGCGTATAATAAAATACATGATATTGATTATAATTAAGTAGGATAGATTATAATAATGTAAAGTATATAGTTAATAAATTAATACAAGTGTTATTTCACTACTATTATTTACCCTAGCTTAACATAATCAGAGGAAACAATTAAATATAATTTTAATTTTTAAAAACTCAATGTAAATTACCTATAATTATTGATATTAGACATTCACAATTATTTGAAAGAAAAAAAAAATATCAATATGTTATTATAATAAAGGTTAATTATTATTTAAATAAAATTTGTTAAAATATATTGAATGTTACTAGTTCAAACGACATGATTCAATAAGGGTCTTAATAAAAATATATTTAACGAATAGGAATATAAAGTATAGCGACATATGGTTATAGTGAGGTGATTGACATATTTTTGATGTGTTAATATATGTATAAAGTATAAGCCTACAAAATATATTATATTTTTTAATAATAGTTGTCTAGGTGATAGTAACTACAAACACGTAGGTTATACAAATACATCAAAAAGAAAAAGTAAGTCAATAATAATATTAAGTTGAATATTTTTGGTATTGTATAAAGGTCAAAACACTTTATATTCATCGCAAAAAAAGGTTTTTCATAGAATAAATTTAAAAAAATAATTACTTTTTAAAATTTAAATAAGATTAAAGTAATTTTAGTTATAAGACTTTAAAGTTTTACTTCTTTATTTTTTTCGTAATTGTTTAAAAATTCATTCTAAGAATTTTGTTCTCAAGGAAAGAATTATTTCAAAAAAATTTTAACGCTTAATTTTTTAAGAATGTCTTGATAAACAAAATACGACTGATTTTAAATATTAGTATAAAAAGCTTATAATCATTAATTGGTGTTTCTAATCTATTAATAAATAAAAATTAATTGCCCTTTATACGTAAGAGCACTACTTGGATCAATTTGACCAATTTGGCTGATTTGTTTTTTATTGAATCAAAAATTGTCTGGGCAAGGTTTGTATGAAATAAAATGTTTAAAAAATCTACTGGATAAATCGAAATAATATGGTAGATTGAATAAGCGTTGTCATGAATGTTGTCTATAGTCATATTTTACAAATATTCGTACATTGAACAAATTTAAAATAATAACATGATAAATTAACTATGTCATATGAATAAATGAAACCGACAAATACATTAATTGACATGCTAGAAGGAAGACGAATATAGGTCAATCTCAACGTGACGCTTTATTCACCGTTTTGGAAAAAGTGGATGCGTCCATTTCTCTACTAAATCTCTTAATTCTTTAACACTTTCTGGAGTTTCACCTCACAAACGGATTTTAAAAATAGGGGCATTTATTATTTAAATTAAAAATTGGAGTCCCCCAAAATGTTGTGACGGTTCAAGATTACAAATAAAAAATATAGAAGTTTATTGATCGAGTGGACAATCTTAACGGGCTGTGGTACTGAAGAAATTGTTTTTATACCAAAAATATCAATTAACCTCAGATTTACATTTTCAGTTTAAATGTATTTAATTTTCTATTAAATTAGCATTTAGAATAGTTATAAATAAAGCATAAGGACCAACACTTAAAGTTTCTGAAATTAATCTAAGCTAATCTAACCTTAGGTTAAGTGTATAGCCTTTGTTTTATGAAATAATGGGGATAAAACTAAAAAAAGGAATTCCGAAAAAGTTGTATTAATCAATGATAAAATAGTACGAAACAAAAAAACTAAACATGTTAATCAAGTATTAAACGAGTACAGTTATATGTTAATAAGCAATTTAATAGAATGACTTAACAAAGAATTTATAAGGACAATTTGTTAGCTATTTATCTTCCAATCTGAACTATTCAAAAGAAGTATATTTTTAAAATGAATAAATATACGTTATGTTGACGTTTCATTAAAATTATTTCAGCTACCACTTTCAGTTCTACTGTCAAAGTTCAATATATAATCAGTTTTTATTTATTTAAACAAGTTATATAAGAATCCATAATACGTTACCATTATTTTAATTTATAAAAATTAATATTATTATATACTTTCAAAAATAACTTAAAAATGAAATGTTTTTATTCTTAAAAAACGAGATTTTTAATAACTAGTGCCATATAATAATTCTTTGTTAAGTTCAGAAAACTTATGTTTCCTAATTACTTTATTTTGTAAACTATCGTCATAGTAACATTCATACACGAACATGAGCACTTTTATACTTACTAAAACAAACTCTTTTGGAATATTTATTATGTATGACAGTGGTGTATTAGGGAGACTTATTTTTATTACCTTTTTTTTTTTTTTGCTACTATTTTACTATACATCAGTGGTCGACACAGTGGCGGATTGAGACAATTGATAATAGGAGTGCACATATTAATTCAGGCCACCCCCTACATTTTAAACACTAGCACTACCAATAAGGGCACCCACAGTGGGGAAAGGGGCCATGCGCCCCCCTATTTTTTGGCATGGAAGGGCCGGATGCTATTATTTAAAATGCCACTATATAAATAAAAATATAGAAAAAAAGAAAAAAAGAAATTAAAAAAAGAGAGGCCAGTGTGGTTATGACCCATACTTGTTGAGGTTTATTCTTAGGCTCGTTGGGCCTGCCGAGGGCACATCGGGTTGTCTTCAGCCGATAATGATGTTGGATGAAGACACAGTTCAAAAATGTTTAATAATAATAATAATGATGACACTTCTGATTTTCTTCACAGTATAAAATTTCAAGTCGGTGATTGTTGTCGAAATGGGCAGAGAAACCGTCGTCGGTGTAGTCCGTTGGTCTCGGCTCGTTCGTCATCTGTTGTTGATGGAGGAGCAATTAAGTTTTATACTTATAATTATATAATAATAATATGCAAACAATTCTTTGTAATGCACGCCAACGACGCGATTATGAAACTACGGCGGCGGTGGGTTCTCACGACAGATATGTCTGTGGTTCGGACTTTGTACTGCTATGGAGAATTAACAGTAAAGTTTTAATTTTAATTATCGCAAAATTCTGTGACGTTACAGAACCTCCCCCCACCAACAAGTTATTGGGAGTACAATGAGCAACCACTTGTTGTAAATAAGGGTAGAGAATTTTGAGTGAATAATGAAAAAGGTTTAACATTTCGTATGTATGTTGGACAAGATAATCCAATTTAAAGAGACAAAGTATTATCATAATTAAGAGTTATTTGATAAATTAGAATAAAGATAAATAGATAGATATATAGAATAAAAAAAAATATATTTTTTTTTTTATAAAATGGGCAGCGAGTTCAGGCAAATTAAATAAGAAACATTTTTTTTTTTTTTACAGATGTTCAAAATGAGGGATTATTATATTTTTTTTAAGTTGATTACACTGTGGCTGCCTTTGGAAGAATTATTATTATTTGAATCTATTAGAATGTAGCCATTTTGAGATTTGATACAGGAGATTTTGTAGGGACCTTCAGATAGGAGAAAGAATTTAGAAGTTGACGTTACACAATGTTATCCATAGAATGTTATCCATAGAAAATAAAATGGCTTCAAAACTCAATTTTGACCCCACAATTGATGATTTTTCCGTTAAAAAATGTAGGAAAAAAATGTTTTCATGATCAATCATATTTTATTCTTATTATATATATAAACAACTTTATTGATATAAATATAGCGGATTGCTCACTTTGTTGTCTTACGACACAATTTACTGTTTAATACAATTTTACATAGCTTATAGGGTTTAAAATGTATATGGATATAGATAAAATAAAATAAAGATAATAATTAAAGTAGTAGTAGAAAGAAAAAAGAAAAAAAAACAAAGATTTCAATCTTGATGATTGTTTGTTATGAATATAGGTGGTAATTTATTATATGTAAAGTTTCCTACAGTACGGACAGACATTCGTATTTTTTCCAGATCACTTCGCTGCAGGCCGTAGTTCTTGAAATTCTGCAGGAATTTTGATGCGGTTCCGCGTGCGCTGAAACAAAGCCCAAATGCTTCCCACTATCCTACTCCGTAGAGGTGGTTCTGGTTGGGTGTGCACGGTAGGTATATAACTCTTTTCTCTTCATGCACATGAATGTCTTGTTGTTCGTCGTTAGTTTCCCAACGAATCGTGGGGTCTAAGATCATCTTAGGCCTCGTCTGTTCCTTCTGTCTATCACTATGATATTAGCCCTTCTGTTTTGAGTTGCTTCTTCATCGAGTACTGTACAGCACACTTCTTCGTATACTTCAAAGTTTTTTGCTCTAAATAGGTTGGCCAGGGTGGTACGGACTTTTTGATGGGCATTGCTGCGATGAAGTTCAGTCTTGGGGCAGGATCCTCGGATGTGGGGTAAGGTTTCAATTATATTATTCTCATTTTAAACTAGATTCCTGCAATGGGGATTGCCGACACTACTACCTCCTGTTCCTCGGTTAGACATTGAGTTCATCGACGCTTTAAAAGCTTTTGCCCACTCACCACTTAAGAGCCCGCCTTTTTTTGATACCCAAGCGTTAGTCGTGATACAACTACCATACCTTAGTACGACTATTCCCCTTTGTCTCAACTCTTTCCACTTATTGAATTCATTGCACCTTAACTCAATACGAATCGCGCGTGGATTAAGGCCGGTTACGGGACCTAAGCATGCGAGAGAATGTGCTTCTTCCTGGCGTAGATCACGAACTACTAGCAGGTGTGGGTCTTGGACGAGCGCTAACTTTTGAGCGATAGCGATATGCTGGATAGAAGCCTTCCATGTCACTCTTAACATATCGAAACCCCGATATTTTCTTCCCGTGTAGTAAACTGGAATTGGAGTGTCAGTGGAAAAAAAATGTAACAATAGTTAATAATAAATAGTTAACCACTTGTAAGTTTAACACTTTAATTTCATTTTTTGTTAAAGAAATTTGTTTTTTCTTTTAAATCTATGTGTAGTATTCATAAAAGAAGATGTCCTGACTGATTGACTTACCATAATTTTATGGTACCCGCCTAACTTTCGCATTGCTAAAGATAAGACTCTTCTACAACGGACCCTACTGCATAACTGCCATTCTGAACTTGATCGTAGAACTCAAGCTGGCGAAGTCGGACTACATATAGCTCATATAAATGGTCTCCCGAAGGTTGTGTCTCACCATCCTAGGGATGGAAATTTCAATCAAAGGCCTACTATCAACAACCCCTGACTTATTCGCCAGTTGCCAACTCAATTTCTGGTTTTTACCAAAACTGCCGTCTCCGGACAAAAATTGTAAATTTTAAACGTAATGTAGCCAGTATAAATTATGATTTTTTTGTTTTAACTGCAACTTGGTTAACCGATTCTTTTGCTGATTGTGCTCTTCATAATTTAATCTTGAGATTCGTCCCTATATCACGCTTTTATAAATCCAGTTTTCTCGCATGGGTATCCAAAGACCTCAAATCGTTAATTTATCGTAAGAATAAAGCTCATGCAAAGTTTAAATCTACCTTCGACCCTGCTGATTACACTGCATTTTCCCTGCTTCGTGCTAAATGTAAATGTATATGCAAAAAATATCATAAAGAATTTGTCGAACAGTTTGAAAAATCTCTATCCTCAAATCCCAAAAATTTTTGGGATTATGTACGCAAGAATCGTTCCCACAATGCCGTTCCTAATTCAGTTTCTTTAGATGGTGTCAATAGTTCTTATAAACTGGAAAGTGTTAATCTGTTTGCTAAACATTTTTTTTTCGGTTTATTCTTCAGAGCCCGTTACTTCAAATCTTCAGACATTAGATATTCAATTTTTCGACTTACCAAACAACTGTTACTTCTCTGCAAATTATGTCCTCCTCAAGTTTAATACTTTAAAAAATGTGTCTTCTACTGTACCCGATGGAATACCTGGCGATTTCCTCTATAGAACGAGGTCCATTATTCTCTATCTTCTTTGGTCCCTACTTCGAAGATCCCTCGATGATAGTATTTTTCCTGACATGTGGAAAATTGGTTCTATTACACCCATTTTAAAATCAGGTTGCCGCTCGTTAGGCACTAATTACAGACCAATTTCTGTTTTAGGGCATATTTTTAAACTCTTTGAGTCATTAGTCTTAGACGCAATTTAGCCTTCAGTAAATTTGATCTTAGCCAATGAACAGCATGGTTTCCATCAAGGCAGATCAACGGTTACCTGTAACCTTGTTTTCTGTAATTACATATTCGGATCTTTTAAAGATGGAACATAAGTTAATGTCATAAATACCGACTTTGCTAAGGCGTTTAACTCCGTTAACCATGAGGTTCTAATCTCTGTTCTTCGTGCTACTGGATTTGGGGATCCTATTAGGGTTGCCACCTCTCCGGGTTTACGTATAAATCTACGGGCTCCGGGTTCAGAGAATTATTCTCCGGGTCGGAGATAAAGATAAGATAACATACGATTTATAGTCTTATATAGACTTTTTTTTTTTATTAGTTTCCGGTATAAAAACCATTTAATCACGATAATAAGAATAATAAGATTATGGACTACGGTTTATGAGTACGATTACGATTTTACGAATCAATTTCAACATCACAGTCGAGTGTGTTTGAATCCGAATATCTGTGTTTAATTTTTGTGTCAGTGTAATCGTGCATCGATATTTATTTTAGACTTATTAATTATTATCATCATGGAAGAATTTGAAGATAATCCAAGAAAAATCAAAAAGTATGAAACTAAATTTAAAGAGTCATGGTTAACTAACGAAAAGTATAAGAAATGGTTAGTTAAAATAGATGAGAAAAAAGCGAAATGTTCATTTTGTAACGTTAATTTTACTGTAAAATGGGACGGTGAAAAGGCTCTGACTAGTCATTTAAACAGTGAAAACCATAAAAAAACTACAAAGAATTTGAAAAGTAATTCATTAATGACCACGTTTATGACTAAACGAAATAGCTCGGATGAACTTAATGTAGCAATCATTGAAATAGCATCAATTTACCACGCAATCAATCACCATCATAGCTATTTAAGTATGGACTGTGGAATAAAATTGAATACTTCCCTATACGGAGATTCTGTTATGGCAAAAAAAGTTCACTGTGGACGTACTAAAGCAGAAGCAATAGTAAAAAACATTCTGAGCCCTAATTCAATAGAACTAGCCATTCAAGATTTGAAAATGGTTACGGCTTTTCAAAATGGTAGTTATTTTTCTATTGCTATTGATGCGTCTAATAAGGGTTCCCAAAAAATGTACCCTATTGTTGTTCAGTATTTTCAAATTCAAAAAGGTATCCAAAATAAAGTAATGGATTTTTATGAAGATCCAGATGAAACATCATTAAAAATTTTCGAAAATATTGAAAATTTTTTACAGCAATCAAATTTAGACGCTGAATTATTATCTGGGTTCTCTGCCGACAATGCATCAGTAAATTACGGCATTCGTAATTCGGTCTATCAAAAACTTCTCGAAAAACATCCAGAAACTAAAATAATAAAAGCAAATTGTAATTGCCACGTTATTCACAATGCTGCTAGAAACTCTATGAAACAATTAACATATGATGTAGAAAATTTAGTGTTGAAAGTGTATGCCGAATTTTCAAATAGTGCTAAGGGCGTAAAAGAACTTCAAATTTTTTTTGAAGAATTCGAAATTGAATACAGAAAAGTTCTTCGACATGGACCAACAAGATGGCTAAGTTTGTTTAAAGCTGTTGATAGACTGATAATGTCTTGGCCTGCTGTTTCATCTTATATAAATACTAAGGAGAAGAAAAATGTCATCAAGTCATATGGAAGTTTGTCAAAAATATTGACACGACAGAAATGACCGATTTGTCACGCAAAGTAACATTACCAGAATGCTTTTTGTACTTTATTCACCACTATATGAATATACTAAATGAGGCAATATTAATACTCGAAACAAATTCCGTAACATCTGTTGACTTACACAATGTAATGCAAGGTCTAAAAGATAAAATTGAAAATCGATTGAATGATTCATTTTATGGTGCAAAAGTTACGAGAAGTATTTCATCACTTCAAAAAAATGAGCTAGTAATGTTTAAAAAAGAAGGTAATGAAGTGTATAAAAAAACTATTGATTATTAAAAAAAAAAAATACGACTCCAACGATTCTATTTTTAAGATGTTTTCAAACTTTAATTTAAAAAACAAGATAGTTGAGTATGATGATGCAATAAAATCTGTGAATTTGTTAGGATTAAAAAATATTGAAGAAGACCGACTTTACGACGAAGTAAAAAATGTGCAAGGAGTCTGGGCAGAGCTTTCAAAAATGAAATTAACTTCAGACTTAATGTGGGTAGAGTTGTTCAAAAAAAAACGATTTCACTGAACTTCCAAAAATTATTGGAAAAATATTTTCAATTCCCATAAGTAATGCTTTTGTTGAACGAGTATTTTCATTGATGGGAAATTTATGGTCAGATGAAAGAAATCGTCTATCAGTGGAAATGGTTAAATCAGAACTCTGCGTCAAATTAAATTACAATATGAACTGTCAAGAATTTTTGTACTTTTTAAAAAATCCCGAACACGAAAAATTATTGAAATGTGCAACAAATAATGTTAAGTATGATTTTAAATTTAAATAATTTTTCTTGTTCGGGATTTTTAATCATATTTATATAATATAATTTGTAATTTTGAATAATAAAATATGTGATATATAAATATTTTTTTTGTTTGCATTTCATTACTATAACTAAGCTATAGATTATACTACATACTGGTGTGTATACAAGCGTCTAGCTGACGACCTTTTTTTTTTGCTTATCGGTCTGTCTCCGGGGCTGCTTTCTTTCAAAGGTGGCAACCCTAGATCCTATACTGTCTTGGTTAAATTCATTTTTAGTAAATAGATCTCAATGGGTTAATCTGTTCAACACTAAATCTGACACATTTTTATCTTCCCCAGGATGAACATCTATCACCTCTTCTATTCTCTTTGTTTGTTAATAGTGCTAGCTCCTCTCTCAAACATAGCAAACTTCTTTGTTTTGCCGACAATATGAAGATTTTCCTCGAAATTAACTCTGTCAATGATTGTCTCAAACTCCAGGATGATCTAAATTGTTTCTCAGCATGTGCTGAATCCCTTGGTCTCAAACTAAATATAGAAAAGTGCCGGTCAATGACATTCAGTAGAAGTCGCTCTCCTATTACTCACCTTTACTCATTGAATGGCTATTATTTGATTCCAACTGACTCTAGCATCTGTGATCTTGGTTTTACTTTTACTTCCTCTCTTCATCCTAGAGCTCACATAGATAAAGTTAAATGCAAAACCCTTAAGGTATTGGGATTCGTCAAAAGAATATCTAGTTATTTTAAGCTCTCCGCATCCCTCAAAGCAATATATTGTGCACTTGTACGTCCAATCGTAGAATACGGCTCATTTGTATGGGATCCCCAATCAACTGATGCTTGTCTTCAACTCGAACGGGTTCAGCGAAAATTTTTATGTTTCATGAAACATTCTCTTAATGTTAACTGCACCCCTCATGATTACACTCCTCTTCTCCGTTTCCTTAACTTATTCTCCTTAGCTTACCGTCGTTGATCCAAAAATCTCTCTTTCCTTAACAAACTCCTAACAGGCTCTGTCGATTTCCCATCCCTTCATTCTCTCATTAACTTTAGAGTTCCTGTTAGGTCCACCCGTAATAATCATCCTTTCTTATTATCCTTCTGCACTACAAACTATCTAAAAAATGAACCTATTACGAAAATAATGAAATTAGCCAATGAGAAACCGTTGTTCCTCTCTTAGTTTTATTTTTTTTTTATATTCATTGTTTAGTTTAATTTTATATTTTATATCTTATTATTTTATTCATTATGTTATTGTATGATTGTATTGTACACTTAATTATTTTAACCTAGGCTCACGCTCGTTGATCCAATAAATAAATAAATAATCAAATTTGTGAGACTACCTGTTGGACTTAATTCTACTGAGATATTAGGTATAATTACACATTTTTGGTCATATAGACACAGGTTTATAGTCAGAGAGCTATGCTCCCTAAATCTTAAATGCTATCCACGCTTTTGATTTTCATAGTCTTATTATTATTAGTGATGGGTAATCTTATTAGTTTTATTCTACAATAAATTATGGGGCCTCGCATTTCGCAATTTAGATATTGCTTAAGGCCTCGCAAATCGTAACGACGGCCCCCTGCCTTAATATCAGTATGACCAATAAAATTAGTGAATTACGTGAACTTAAGAATAGTTCATTTGAACTATTCACTTGAATGAATTGTGAACTAATGAACTATAGACATAAATGAACTAAACTTTCCATCTATATTATGGAATGGAGCGCACCCGGATGAAGATTAAAGTCCCTTTCACACTACACTACCATGGTGGCGCCACCAAAAAAGTATAGCCACCAAACATGTCACCAGACACATTATTTTATTATTTTATTTTACAATGTACAACATTTAAACAAAATAATTAAACCAATATTTAGTTCCAAAATAGAAGTTGAAGAGTTGACATGTGTTGCTTATTTGTACAGCCGTAGTAGACGTGCAAAAAAAAAAAAACAAGAAGTTGTGGGTACATCCATTAATTGCTGATCGCTCAGCAAAATATGTAATCTTCTTTCAATTTTTGGTTACCCAGGAAATATTTAATTTGTTTAATATGTTGATTTTAATAATTACCGATTAAGAATTATGTAAATTATTAAACTGTATAACAACATAATCGAAGCCATAATTTTAAATGGAAAATTTAAAGGTGAACATGTACTATTACCAATACCGTATTTAGACATTTTGTGCCCCGACGCAAAAATAAAAAAATTGGGGCCTTCTAAGGGGTCTGTCCACGGAAAATATAGGAGATAGATACTCATGAACCTTTTAGATATTCTAAAATCAATGCTATTTTTGTGTAGTAGGCATGCCACCGTACGCCGCACGCGATAATATAATACGCCGTATTATTATAAATAATCTGTTTGTTGATATTATTATAATAAATTTGGGAACTAATATTAGGTATATTAATAATATTCTGGATCACTGATTGCTATAAATACATTAATAATATATATATATATATATTAATAAATTAAATACATTAACATTAATTTATGATACTATTATTAAAAACAAAAAAAAATAATAATTTCAAAATAATTTTAAAAGTTCAATAATTCATAAGTGAGCAAATTTTCGATCACAAAATTTTGGCACCCACAAAAAACTTTTCGTTGTCACTTTAATGAACAATTTTATTAATCTCAACCTAATATTTTTACTTTTAGAAACTTTTATTAAAACAGTAGAAACAGATATTTATATTAAAATAAATAGTAATGTTAAAAATATATCTAACCTTCGAAAAAAATGCACAAGATGACACAAGATTAAAAAAAAACTTTAAAAGCAACTGAGAATTATAAAAACAAATATATAATATATTATGAATATGTACAAATAGTTGCATTTAATTACAATAAAGATTACAATGTTATGTTATGTATGATGTATTTATTTGTATTTTACTATGATTAATTTGATTGATTATTTTAAATTTTTGTATTATTCACTAATTTAATTTAATTTATCTATAACATATAATTTTCAAAAAAATGTACACCTATTGATTATTTATTATTGTTTAAAAAAAATATGTTTTATTGATTATTGTTTTAAAAAAATCATACAATTTAGGTACTACAATTGACTATCATTTAAATAAAATTGTAAAATAGGTAAATTTTACATTATATGAAAAATTAACAAGGGATTAGGTATTAAAAAAAAAAAATACCAAATCATTTGAGATTATACTATAACTATTAAGAATGCATATGAAAGTGGGAAAAAGGATAGTTTATTAAAAAATCGGAAAAAGAAAAAATACTTTAATTAGTATATTTTGATAGTTTTCAATTCTTAATTATCTTGAATATATATTATTATAATTATAATATGTATATATTATAGATAAAAAAAAATATATATATTTATTTAAATACAAGCATTTATAAAAATTGAACAATATAAAAATGTTAAAAGTATTTAATGATATATTTGCTAAACTAACTACAGCACAAATTATACATATGAACGTTTTGTAAGTAAATAAGAGTGATTACTTTAATTCAGAAGTTCCAAATAAAAAATAAACATCATGAAATATTCATTTAACTTTATGTATTTTTATATTGACGCAGCTATCTGGAACTGTGATCAAATCCAAAACTATTTTTACTGGATTTATTGTTTTTATTTCGTATCTTTTTATACACTAAAATGTTAAACAAACATACATATATAAGTAATTCAATCAATTATAAGATATTGGGTTTATTAGATATATTAAGGACATGTTTATTATTTTATTAATATAATTTAAATTTATATAAATTGATTTAAAAAAACTTTTTAACAACCAAAATTATAGTAGTTATTCAACCCTTATGCAAATTTATTCATAGATTTATATTAGACTCCGTGCTCAGCTCTTATCAATCACATATGTTTATTAAACGTCCGCGATTTTTTTTTATGTTTCACTTATACGATTTTGTCGATTTTTAACAAAATTAATACCGTTGAAAAGGGAAAAAAAGACGAACTACCAGTGTTTCAGGTCTCACCCACTACGAGGGTCTGTGCATCCCCAAGATAAGAAAAATCGTATTTTTAATTACCATTGCAAAAAAATGTCTAACAAAAATAACACGTCACTACGCTCGCCGCCACAAAAGAAGCTATACAACAACAAACCGATAACTCCAATTAAAATTGTAAATGGCAATCAAATAATTAAACAAAACGAAATAGTAAACACCGACCCGGACGATTTCTCATCTGTTGATTGGATATTGGTAATGTCTCCTCACTCCCAAAAACGTTAGCACACTCCATCTAGGTAATAGGTTTACGTCTCCCAAAACCAAACAAAGCAATACATCAAGCCAGTTCACAACAAAAAATCGTTACGCCTCACTTTCTGAAAAATTATCTACTCAGGAAATGGATACTGATCAAACATCCAATTTACCAAATACCAAACCACAATTACCACCTCCAATTTTTATCAAATCTGAATTAAACTACAAAAATTTCTGTGATGCTATCAAACTATTAATCAGTCCCGAAGAATTTTTTTTGCAAAAGTCTTATCAATAACCTAAAACTTCAAACAAAATCTGCCGATTCATTCCGAAAAGTAAGTAAACTGCTAAAAGAAAAATAAGTTGATTTTCACACTTATCAAATTAATCAAGATAAATCATACAGAGTCGTTTTTCGGAACTTACATCATACTACGCCTATCGATTTTATTATTCAAGAATTAAGTGAAAATTGATTCACTGCAAGACAAGTTGTAAATGTAAAAAATAAAATATCAAAAATACCATTACTCCTATTTTTCATAGACCTTGAACCTGACCTAAATAACAAAGAAATATTTAAATTAACTTCAATATGCTACACCAAAATTAAAGTTGAAGAACCACATCCTCGACGCCAAATAATACAATGTCTTAGACATGTCTTCACCCGATGCGTGAAATGTGGGGAAAACCACAATACCTCTGCCTGTTTAATACCCACCGACCAACCACCAAAATGCGCACTATATGAAGGATAACACCCAGCAAGTTATCGAGGTTGCATTGTGTATAAAAATCTACAACAAAGACACCAGAATAATAAAAAAAAATTGACCAAGATTTCCAATCTGATATTAAATTATTAAATACCAATAATACCATACCTGTTAAAGAGGTCTATTGCACCACCCTAAATGATATCAGTACTAATAATCAGCCGCACACCCAATCATACGCAGGCGCCACTATTTAATATTAAATGTATTTAATAATACAAAAATCCATGAACGAACCCAAAATTATTTTTCTAAACAGCTCACCTCATTCCTCAATGATTTTAAATTAATTATTAATCCACTTATTTACGTACGTTACTCCAACCCCCCCAATTTTTAATTTTGCAATTTTTTTTTTGCGCCAATAATTAGTGCTCAATTCCTGCTAAATTTTCAGAATTCCTGCTACACCAGTTTTTCCATAAAGTCGAATTTTCTACGGGTGGGGTTGGAGTAAAGTTACCCCAGCCCCACATCCACTTTAAATTTAATTTTTTACAATTTTTTTTTGCGCCAATAATTAGTGCTCAATTCTTGCCAATTCCTGCCATATTTTCAGAATTCCTGTTGTACCAGTTTTTCCAGAAAGCCGTATTTTCTAAGGGTGGGTATGTCATTATTAGGGTTCGGTAGTTGTAGGAATTGCATATTGTTCTGTATGTTCCCAATTTATACTCATAGTATATCAATATTATATTATATTATATCAAACAACAATGGTATTATTTTTATCGGATATTGTTGTCGCCGGAATTTCGGGGAAAAATAAATACTCACACTGCCACACTATATTACTAAATCGACTAAATAATCCTAGGCTGTTGTTATGAAAATCTGTTTTTATTTACATTTAGTGGATATCATTTTTAGTGGATATTATTTTCATACATTTTTTCAAAGTTCACTAATTAATAAAAACTTGTCTAAAAATTCAAATGGATGTAGGTATATATGTCTATATATTTAATATTTAGATTAGGATAATATAACTTCTTCACTTATTATAGGGGTGGCAAATTTTTGGTGCCTATAGCTGTAAATAAGATAAATCCGTCTCCGGTGGTAATTTATTATTTAATTTTATAATATACAGTTTTAAACCGATTTCTATTAAAATCAAAATTGAATTGATAATTTGTCCATATTTCTCGTACTACTAAATACAAGTATACTACTTAAACCCCCTCTAATGTAATAGAATTATTGCTGTCTTATTTCATAACATTAAACTACATTCTGCGGCTATGTTTAGCTTGTATTTGGTCTCTATATCAATTGCATACTGCATTTGTTTAAACTATTTCAACAATAACAAAACCCACTATGATAAAAATTTATTAATAGTCTATAATAATATCTATAATAATAATAATAAGTTTATTCCCTACACTCGGTAAACTTTTCGAAAAACTTTTGCTCAAAAGAATTCGTCCAATTATGTTAAAAAAAGGTATCATTCCAAGTATCCAATTCGGTTTTCGTCCAAAACATTCAACCATTCATCAAATTCATCGCTTAACTGATTCAATAGCCCTCGAAAAAAAACAATATTGTACAGTCTTATTCCTAGACATAGAACAAACGTTTGACGAGTTTGGCACGAGGGCTTAATCTATAAACTCGAAACAATATTTCCGGCACCGTGCTTTCTATTACTCAAATCATACTTAAAAGACAGAACTTTTCAAGTACGCCAAGGTAATGAAAATTCTGACTCTTTTGATATATATGCAGGGGTTCCACAAGGTAGTGATCTATCCCCGGATTTATACAATATATTCACTTCCGATATACCCACCGACCCAAATACGATATTAGCAATCTATGCCGACGACAATGTTATTCTGTCCATCAACAAAAATCCCATCACTGCTTTTGACAACTTACAGAAACATACTTCTAAAATTGAAACTTGGTCAAAAAAATGGAAAACAAAAAAAATGAAAACAAATCTGCCCATATTACATTTCCCTTAAAAAAAGATCACTGCCCTATTATTACTTAGCTTTGTAAAGTTTTCGTTACATATAGCTAATGTATACACCCATGAATTCAATGCATATTTAAATTTTGTTATACCTCTGCTATGGTGAAACACATCTGTGTATTTGCCATTTTTTGTCCAATACATGATCGTGTACCAAATCCATAAGGGAGAGTGGCAAAGGGTTCAATAACACCATAATATTTATTATTTAGCTGACGATTCCAACGATCTGGTTTAAATTCATTTGGACATTGAAAATATTTTCTATTTCGACAGCTTGTGAACATTGACATTATAATTAAATTCTAAAATAGAAACATAGAAGTAGAAATGTTATAAAAATGCACTAAATAAATAATTTTTAAACAAAACTTACATTCGCAGGTATTATATGATTTTTTAAATATACATCATTTGGAGATATTCTTACAATAAAAGGTGCTAAAGGATACATTCTCAACACTTCCTTCAAAATATTATTTAACAAATCACACTCTAAGAAATCAGTATCCAACAAACATTTTCTTAAATTATTTTGTGTACTTTTCTCCAATCCAAGAGTATACAAAGCCCATTGGGTCGAATAAGCAGTCTTTAAAATAGTATTAGGTGTGTTAGAAAATCATTGTTACATAAATCATATTTAAATAATTTATAAAAATGTATTCTATTTATTCTGATAAAATCTTACAGTGTCACCAGCTGCAATTATGAAGTCAACTATTAGCCTCTTAATCATGTCAATCGGTATGTCATGAGTATTTGATATAGAATTTAATAAGCCATCACCACCACTATAACTTAATAACTTTGATACCAAATTACTGGCTAGAAAAAAATAAATAATATCTTATTAATAGGTTTCTACTATTGACACTAGTTTAGCTCATAGAAAAAAAGTATTAACTTATAAATATAAATTAAATTTAAATATGTAGTACATTTAATAATATGTTTTGACCTTTCAAGTATTATCTCAGTAATGAACTTTTTTGGTACATTTGAATTCAGTGATTCACCATTTAGGTCCATAGTTAAACCATTTTATAAGAAACATAAAATATAATAACCTAGAAAATGAATAAATAAAATCTTACCACTATCAATAGAACTGTCAACTGCACACACAAAATCATTCCAAATATTCAACTTTAATAATTTTGCAGTTTTAGCTGGGATCACAGTAAATTTAACAGTACATTGAAATACTTTTTGAATGCTTTGAGCTAAACAGTTAACGTCATTTGATACATGCATTTTACACTCATCATAAGCTCTCCCGACTAAATGGGCTACCATAACTGTAAATAATTTAAAATCTTATATGTTTTGATTTTTAGTACTAATATAATAGAAAATTACATTCTGATAAATATATTGTGTTTTATAGCAGTAACATTTATACATTATAAATGTAATATGTATACAAGAGGCAAAATTAAAATTAAGTTAATTAAATTGCAACTGTAATTATTACATATTTTATGTTATCTATCAGTCACAAAAGTTTTTTAAATTTTCTTGATCACTATATAAATGTTACTTCTTTATAAATTTAACTAATTTGTAATTTATATATTAATATGCCTAGGTATTAGAAAATTAAAAAAAAAAACTATATTCTTACATGAAATTGATAGCTTATATAAATCTGCTATAAGATTAGGAATCACTTGTCCATTATAGTTTTCCCATTCAGTAAATAAGTCATTAGTGACAGTATTATAAGATTTGATCAAATTTATATTAAAATCTTTTAACATAATTTTGTTCAATATTTGTCTATATTTCCACCATTCTTTTCCATCCCTATAAACAAATATAATGTATTATTACAATTTAGAAGTTGATATTGGTTAGGTTATATATATCTCAAACATTTATCCTTATTACATGACTGTGTAAGAAATTTTATTAACTTAAGAACTAATTAAAAGAAAAAAAAGAACCCATAAAAAAGTATTAAATTGTAAATTTAAAATTATTTAAATATCAAAGAATGTCAAAATATATTCATATTTAAAATTTCTGGTGGCCTTTGCTATACAAGTTGTAATTTATAGTAATTTAATATTAATTAAATTGCGTTAGATATAATACTTAAATAAATATGTAAACTTAATGAATGTAAAACTTAGAAATTATTAATGATCAATATTTTAATAATTTTATGGAAAATAAATTACATGAAATAGAGCCCTCGTTGTTGGCCATATGTATCATTATAAAGTAACCATGCTTCTGGTAACATATGTTGAGGATATTTTCCTTCTTGTGCAAATAATAATTTCATATCCAAAGGATCACTAATCCATACAGCATCAAGAGGACCGAGTTTTTCTCTGAATACTGAACCGTATTGTTGATGTCGCTTATCAATATATTCATGTAATTTACGACCACCACCAGCCAATAAGATTGAAAATATTGTACCAACTACTGGTAGGCCCTTGACAATGGGTATATCTTTTTTTGATTCATTTGTATAGTCTTTAATAATTGAAGACATGAATTTATTTTTAGTATTGTTTCTTAAAAACAAAATGCAATGTCGATTGAACATGGTATAGAGACTTAATGAAGATCTCGTATTTCTATTAAGGAAAAAAAAATTAATAAGATCAAATTTATATTAGTTGAACAATTTATGTTAAAATATTGCACTCTAATTTCAACTAAACATTTTTTGTACACAGAAAATTAAATAATATTATGAATTAATATTTGAAATTAATTACTAATTAATCCATTAATAACTAAATAAATTAAAATTAAATTAAATGTACGAACTTGAAGAAAATACAGTCAACATGAAATTAATAAAAACATAACTTGGGGTGTCCGATACGGTTAATGTAAAACGTATATTGTAATTGGTAACTGAACTCAAAAGTATTAACAGTTGAGGTGCAGTTGCTATTTGTTTATCTATTTGTTGTAGAGATATCTTTAAAGATTTATAACAGCAACAGTTGGTTGCTATCAGTGATAAAAAAAATATATCATTTTAACGGTTATTGTTCTGTGATTATACCAAAGATCTATTAACTTAATTATGGTTTATACTATGATACACTACGAGGTTTATAGATAATAATTATTATCTATAAGACTTGGATACATTATACCATTGATAATAAATTTATGGATAGACAATTGTCTAGAGACAGCGCCTCTTATCTGCAATATTATTATCAGTATAACACTATCACTACAGTTGCCTTATCACATAATCGGTTGATTACATTTAACTATTATATTTATACAAACAGCCATAATATTATATTATTTAATAATTATATTAATTGTAATATATTAATTATTTAGTATTATTAATTTATATAGTACAAATTACAATGTCATTAAGTGAAGAATTAAAAATCTTTAATCGTGATTATACCTATCATATAAATAAGCAAATGATTGGCGTAAAGTTTATTATATATAAACCTTGTGATTGGCGGGCCCCAGGCAGTTATTTCCCCTTGATAATAACATGAGATAACAAAAAAAATCAAAAAAATCAGGAGTATTTTTCCCGTTTTGAAAATTGGGGGATATTGTATAACTTTTATCAATATAAATTATATAATTGGATTTGGTAATTTTCGATTTAGTCAGTTGGTACTGTTTTTTTTAAATTTCGGACAACTGCCTCCAACTCCATTATCGATACCATTGAATAATTTGAATAATCTGCAGTCTGTACAGTGTTGGGAATGACAACTAGAGACAATTCCCATTGTGTTATTTAATTTCCCTTTTCCTACATAAATTCCCCTGCTCAGGTAAGATTGTAATAAAAATTCCATTGAACATGATAAAACAATTATCAAATGTTATAGAAGTCGAAGTGGAACATTTACACAAATTTGTATGTCACTTGTCAGTTCCAAAACAATTAAACAATGCTAAATTTTTATAGATTCACTCTATAATAGAATTTCTAATTAAATACCCCATCTGTATTCAGTGGGAATGTTCACATGGAAGAGAGAGGTTGCGTCAAGTCTTTTAAGATAATATTATGTTTGGTTGGTCTTGGTGCAAATCATGAACTTTGTTTTTAATTACCCTAAATATATTTAGTTTTTACGCATTACTCCCAAAATAAAATTTATATTAGTAAAATACTTAAATTATTAGAATAAAACAGGCCCTAAGATCGTATCTTAAACCGTGGTTAACATTGAGTTTTTGATAACAAATCGCTAAGCCGCAAGATAACTTATCATTTTAATTTATATAATGTTTAGTTAGATCTTCTGCTGATTGTTTCGTACATTTCAAACAGGTCGAGTAAGTGTTGTGTTAAACTGTTGAATTGAATTAGGAATATTTAACTAACTAAATTCCCAACATAATTTAAAAAACAATCAACACTATGTATTTTGGACTGCGTTTTAGTCGACAGGCCATATTGAAAAAAGCTGATGTATGGTTACGATACATGTGCAATATTACAAAAAATGAACCAAAAGAACTAGAATATATCCGAAATATTGGCATTTCAGCACATATTGACTCTGGAAAAACTACATTGACCGAAAGAATCTTGTATTATACAGGTAAAATAGCAAAAATGCATGAAGTTAGAGGAAAAGATAATGTGGGAGCTACTATGGATTCAATGGAATTGGAAAGACAGAGAGGTATAACAATTCAATCAGCTGCCACCTACACAATGTGGAAAAATTACAATATCAACATAATTGACACACCGGGTCATGTCGATTTTACGGTTGAAGTAGAAAGAGCTCTTAGAGTCTTAGATGGTGCAATTTTAGTGTTGTGTGCTGTAGGAGGTGTACAAAGTCAAACACTTACTGTTAACAGACAAATGAAACGTTATAATGTTCCATGTATAGCTTTTATTAATAAATTAGATAGACTTGGAGCTAATCCGTATAATGTTTTATCCAATATTAGAAGTAAATTGGGACACAATGCTGCATTTTTACAGTTACCTATTGAACAAGATAATAATATTAAAGGAATAGTCGACTTGATTCATAATAGATCAATTTATTTCAATGGAGATTTTGGTGATGACATTGAGTATGGTGATATTCCAGAGGATATGAAACAATTGGTCAAGGATAAACGGCAAGAATTAATTGAACATGTGTCCAATGTAGATGAAAAGTTAGGAGAAATGTTTCTTGAAGAAAAATCTCCTACTAAACAAGAATTGATTGATGCTATCAGACGAAACTGTATCAATAGAACTTTTACACCTGTTCTTCTTGGAACTGCTTTGAAGAACAAAGGTGTTCAACCCTTGTTGGATGCTGTATTATCCTATTTACCACATCCTGGAGAAGTAGAAAATTTTGCAATCCAGGAAACTGATGATAAAAACAACCCTAAAAAAGTAGTTTTAAATTCTAGTCGTGATGGAACTTATCCATTTATTGCTCTTGCTTTTAAATTAGAAGCTGGACGATTTGGTCAATTGACCTATATGAGATGTTATCAGGGTAAATTGTCCAAAGGTGATACCATTTACAACTTTAGAACTTCCAAAAAGATACGTTTATCTAGATTAGTTAGATTACATGCAGATCAAATGGAAGAAGTCAACGAAGTATATGCTGGTGACATATTTGCACTGTTTGGTGTGGATTGTGCAAGTGGTGATACTTTTATGACTGATAAAAAATTAAATATTTCACTAGAATCTATTTATGTTCCTGATCCAGTTGTGTCTATGGCTATTTCACCTATAAATAGTAAAGACAGAGATAATTTCAGTAAAGCGATTGCTCGATTCACCAAAGAGGACCCAACTTTCCATTTTCAATATGATACAGACAGTAAAGAATCAATCGTTTCTGGCATGGGTGAATTGCATTTAGAGATCTATGCTCAAAGAATGCAAAAGGAATACAACTGTCCAGTAAATTTGGGAAAGCCAAAGGTTGCATTCAGAGAGACTTTAGTATCACCCTTTGAGTTTGATTATTTCCATAAAAAACAACATGGTGGACAAGGACAATATGCCAGGGTTATAGGAGTTCTAGAACCGTTACCACCTAATGAAAATACAAATTTAGATTTTGTTGACGAGACATCTGGACCTAATGTACCCAAGCAATACATTCCTGCTATAATAAAAGGTTTTAAAATGATGTCTGAAAAAGGATTGTATTCTGGACATAGAATATCAGGTGTGCGTATGAGGTTATTAGATGGTGCACATCATATTGTTGATTCCAGCGAATTGGCATTCATATTGGCTACCCAGGGTGCTATTAAACAAGCATACGAAGAAGCTTCTTGGCAAGTATTAGAACCAATTATGGATGTTGAAGCAGTTGTACCTATAGAATTTCAAGGTGCTGTAATGGGTCAGTTTAATAAACGTAGTGGAATAATAAGTGGTAGTGATGGAACAGCTGATTGGATTACAATTCATGCAGAAGTACCGTTAAACTGCATGTTTGGATTTGCTGGAGAATTGCGGTCATTGACCCAAGGCAAAGGAGAATTTAGCATGGAATATGTCAGATACTCACCAACAACCCCTGAAACTCAAGAAAAAGTAGTGATGAATTATTTAGAAAGTACTGGTCAACTTCAAGCATTCCTTAACTCAAAAAAGAATACTAAATCATAATTAATGGAAGAATAAATTTGTATTCATCATTTAATTTAATTTAAAATAAAAGCTGTGTTGACTGAATTGCTTTTTAGTGAAAAAAATGTGTATAAATTTGTAATATAACTGTTATAACTTAAAATAATATAACTTGAAAATAGTCGTTTATGAATATTTTTTTATCATTAGTGTACTTAACAACAAAACCAATATTTTTCTGTTAATCCAACATACATTTAAACATAATACACTGATGAAAAATATAATTTTAATATATACGTAAAATATTTGTTGTATATAAATGTTAAATACTTAAATTAAATTATAAACTTTATGAAGTACATAAGGAACTATATTAATTATATCAAAATATATACTGATGGTCCCAAAAACATAATCCTCTGGATGCAATTTCCACATCAGTCTCTGTAACATTTAATACAGTTAGCTATAGTTTAAATTTATATGTATAATGATATATTATATTATTAATAACCAAAAATGGGTATTAATTAATTTTAAGTTTAATTTTTCCTAACTTTTTAACTTAACTAGTTAGTTTATTTTCTAATAAACTTTTTAACTTAATTAGTTTAATTGGCGGTTGAAATAACATAGCATTTCACAGTTAATTTAAAAATTTAAATTTTAACTTAATTAGTTTAATTGGCGGTTGAAATAACATAGCATTTCACAGTTAATTTAAAAAATTAAATTTAAATTTAAAAACCAATCTGGAAGTACGGGATACAGCTATGGGGAAGTGCAAAAAAGACAAATTTAAATAAAATTCAATGTTTTCAAAACATTGCGCTAAGAAAATTAATAAATGCTCCCCCATACATATCTAACCATACTCTCCATACAGACCTAAAATTAAAAACTATCCACGAGGAAGCCAAACACTTTTACAAAAGATTCCATAACCGTCTTTCCTCCCACTCAAATCCTTTAATTAAAAACCTTTCCTCCCTCTCAATCCCCGGCAGTCCTAGACGATTAAAACATGAATGGTGTAGAGACCTGTTACAAATTTTAATATAGAAAAAAAAAAAATACTAACTTATTAAATATATATAATTCATTTACATTTTTCATATAAACTATCAACATTTAAGTGTCATCATTGGGTGGCTTCTTTATTCACTTTTTGTATTTTGTATACTCATGTTATCTGTACCCCTTATCATATATGCTTATTGTGTCATTTGATATAGATTGTATATTACGTATTAAAATAAAAAAAAAAAAAAAAATTAAAAATTATCCAAGTTAAAAAAATTTGAAATTTTTCGTTTATTCCTAAATATTATTATAAAAATTAAAATAATCCAATACTATAATAACACAAACATTACTGTTATTTTTCTTGATAAAATAATTTTGTTTATGAATAATATAATATTAATATATTATATTTTAGTAGATTAGATAGATATAAAACCATAATATATACACAATATTTTAATGTTTCCAGTACAGTGGTGGGGCCTGGGGGGCCACGACCCCCTCTAAATTGGTCTTAGCCACCCCTTGGCCGCCTAACCACAAAAAAAAAAAAAATTATCAATTATGATCATGATCCTCACGATTCACAGTCCTATAATTGTGAAATAGAGACTGAAAATCAAAGTTACAAATTTTGCCTAAATCATTAAAAAACTCTGAAAATAAATTACATTTTTCATTTATATGACTATCTAATCAAATTCCACTTTCAGAACTGCATACACTTTGTTTGATATCTATTACAAATTTTTTTTCCTCAACTGGATACGAGAGAATATTTTCTTGTCTAAAACGGGTGAAAACTATCTCAAAAATAAAGTAATGGATTCTTATATGTCAAATTTGAGTGTGATAGCTATTGAAAAGTTAGAGGCCAAACGTCTAAACATTGATGATATTAATGAATTTGCATCATTGCATCAAAACCGTCAAATTATTTAATTTAACATAATTTATAGCAATAATAATCATAAAAATTATATACACTTATAGACTCTTGTCTAGTGTGTAATAAACCAGAAAAGTATTGATCATATGTTAGTGATTAATGATTATATACCTAATTATTTTATTTAATTAGCAGCTAAATTAAAGTACATGAAAGTTAATTTTATAGTTTTTAATTTATCATAATTTATATATATCTTTTCTTTTAATCAAAATTATAACAATAAAAATTGTATAATTTTTTTTTATTTAAATATAAATGTATAAATATATTAACCTAGGGTGACCATATTTATGAAAGAAAGAAATGGGACAAATATGTTCTCAAAAAAAAAAAAGACAACATTTGTTTTAACTTCTATATTATATGCAATAAAAATAATTTTTAATTAGTTTGATATTTTAATTAAAAATTGATTTGCATTCTATTTTTGCTGTGAGATTGAAAAAAAATTACTTAAAATATTCTTTATTTTTATTGAGTTGATTATTTCGAATTATTTGGGTCGATTGTTCATAATTTTCTTCATTACATTCTTTGACATTATTTTTTTTTTATGAACTGATTGTATTTAATAGTTTTAGTTGTGTTAACAAAAAATCATAAAAATCATTACAGGAATATTTTTTAAAATTATTTATAAGAATTATTATTGCTTTGACAATTGGTACGAGAAAACTATTTTTTTCGTCCGTCCATATAATATTTGTGATTGATAATATTATTTCTATTATTGCATTAGTTAATCTGCAAAGGTACAGTAAACGTATATTTCTTTTTAGGCATTTTAAAAAAACAATACAAGTGATAACACTAACGACTCACAACAATTTAAATAAAAAGAACTAATACATAGTGGCTATAACATTAATAACACAAGATCGTTGCCATGTACACCCGTTATTGCACGACTATGTTCGATTTTACGATTAATATACCTAATATACCTATTATACCGAATATGGTTGATTATAAATAGTACTGTACATTGGTAAACTATTCGTATTTAATATCGATTTCTTTAGAAGTCTCACACATGAGTTCGTAGTACATACATATATACTATATGACATGTCATATTTTTTTTTCTTTTGCTCTCGGTTTACAATTTTTATAGAAGTAACGTGATTAAAACGGGACAAAAAGCGTCCCGTTCAAAGTTTGTCGGGACAACGGGACATAATGATAAAAAAAAGGGACAATCCCGTTTTAAACGGGACGTATGGTCACCCTAATTAACCCAAAAACAAATGTAATTCGTGTATTATATTATATTAAGTAAAGATTTTTAATGTACGTTAGTTGAAAATGATATCTAATGTGTAAATAATATATATAATAATATAATATATGATTTTTGTGATCAATTAAAATGAAAACCAATTATTATGTGGAAACTTAGCATATGGGACAGTATCTCAATAGGTAGTGTGTTAGCCCCCTATCCTTATTGAGCCAATTAATGGGACATATTAAACTGATTGCGATTTTTTTTGGCCCTTCTAAATTTTCAAAGGTCCCTAATGGGCCCCCCCCCCAAGATAAATTCCTGACGCCGCCACTGTTCCAGTACAAATAACAATTATTTTTCTGAAAAAGCAAAAGCCTGAAGCAGAGCATCCCACTCAAAGCAAGTAACTATTATCGATAAGGAAAATGCAGTTAACAATCATATTCTGAAAATAACTTGATACTTAAAATATTGTATGAATATAGTTATATATGCACGTAAATATTATGATAATAATATCATTATACTGTTTATACTAATTGTAGATAATATTATGTCCCTGTATTGACCAGTCTCTTATGTTGTTCATGATCGTAAACATAATTCATAATCGTCATTCATTAGCTATTAAATATATTTAATCTATTCTGTGGTTATATCATAGATGAATAGTGTACTCAGGGCCCCACATACAATTTCGAGCCCTTACACTAAATAGTTGTCCGGGCCTTATACAACTTCCAAAAATACAATTTACTATATATAACAATTTTAGGAAAAATATTTGTTTTTTCATTATACCAATTCAAATTCAAGATTCATAAGCATTTCAACATTTTTATTTTGTTAGTCTATTTTATTTTTTTATTACAATATTATTTAAATTAAAATTTTATTTTGCGGATTTTGAGCTCAGCGAATTCAGTAATGATATCGTCAAAATTGATTGTCGAAGCCAATCCATTAATTTCTAGGTAATAACTGGTTAATCTGCATATCTGCATTTTGAACTATCAAAATAACTAAATATAAATATAAAATATCATTTAATGTAAAATAAGTATTTCTACTAAAATTTCAAAAATTACAAATAAATTTCAAAGGTCCATCACCCCCCCCCCTTGTGGGGGCCCTAAGTATACTTCTTTTTATTTATTGCATTTAAGATTTAGAATTTCGGAATTAATTTTTTATATTAACTATCTCGTATTTTCAATTCGTAATCAAACAACATCAGTTGTTAAGTACCTATTTTGAATTCGGTTTTAAAAATAATTATTAATGTCATTAACTTTTTTTAAACTGAGTTAAGTTAATATTTTTTTCTTATTATCTTTTAACTAATTTATGAATTGTTAACTGTTAACTTTTAACTTATCGATCTTGTATCTCTTAACATAACTCTAGTTAATTATTTTTATTAACTTGCCCACCTTTGTTAGTCACTAATATAATATTACCTGAGCATCATGAATCAGGAACATTGAAAAAAAAAATGAACCAATAATTGAATACATGAGTTCATATGTAGTACTTCCCAGTAATATTTGTATTAATACACCAGCCAAAAGTATGGATAAAATCAGCAGAATACTAAAAGCAAATATATCTTATTAAATAGTATGTAACCAATATAATGTTTATTTATTGCCATACAATTGTGTCATATTTAAAGAAATTATCTTACCTCCTAAAAATTACATTTTGAAAACAGAAGAAAATTTAAAATAATAAAAATTAATTCTAATTTTGAAGGTACTATTATATATTATATATTATTATATATATAGGTACACATTATATATAGTGTGTAAAAAAAGAGTAATAAATAATTTTTACTAATTAAATAATGTATTACCATCTGTTGAAAAAAAAAATATTAAGAATGGTACTTACCAATATTCAGTTAAAGATAACCAAATTCTCTTTGTTTTACTCAAGTATAGCATTGTAGCTATGATTGCAACCAAAGTAAGTAATAATGTTTGTAGCAGTATAAATAAACCAAACGATGTAACAACAATTCCAACAGTACAAGCTTCTAATAAAGTCTATAATTGAAATTAATAGAGCTTAAAGGTTATATTTTAAGTATGTATACATATTTTTTTAGTTATTTACTCACAAATATGATTAATATTATAAGATTAGAAGGATAATGTTTGCGTTTCATGTGTAAAAATATGAGTACCACTACATTCAATATAATAGTTATTGACAGCATATATTCACTGAAAAATAAATTTTCCACTAATGATCATACAAAAGTTGTTTAATACAATTACAATGTGTTCTCACAAGTTATAGATGAAAAAACGAATTTTCGGAGTAAATAAACAGAAAAATCCCATGAAATTATAAGCAAGCAGTTGTAGTACTAGAAGAGTAAAAACTTTCCTTAAAAATACTGAAACAATAAAAAACCAAATATATACTAACTTAATATATTTATATTACAATTATATATAAAAAAATTACCTTGGCATGTTTTAACAAGTTGTTTTTCAGTACTTAAAAAATGATATGGAATATTTATTTTGTCTTCATTATTGTTTGTAAAAACAACATTGTCGTAATTATCTAATTCTTTACCCGAGAAAAATTAAATAATAAATGTATTGTTTTTCTGGTCAATATACTAATTAAATTACGTTGAGTATAATAATATATATATATATATATATCAATGGTAATTATCAATGTCACAATAAAAATAATTTCAACTATTGATTTTAGCATTTGAAATTTAATTTATTAAAAAAAAGATATATACATTTTTAAATTTTTTGAATAGAGTTATATTGTTTTCAAAGATAATTTTTGTAATATTTAATTATTTTAATGATTAATTTCATACAAATAAATATACTTTTTTCAATATCGTACAACATATTAAATGAAAAATTATTCTTAAGTATTATCATAAACTGAATTTATATAAGATAATAATTTTCAACTAATAAGTAACATAGGTACTTATAATTTTTTAAAAATAATTACCCAAATAATTTCCATCAACCATGGTTAGTCTCACTAAGAACTATCAAATAATTAAAGCAAGCTTCTAAGATGTTCTTGTTACATCAACAATCTGGAAAATCAAGTAGACATAAAACAGTAAATATTTCATCAATTTAATTAGGTAAGTATTTTGACTACTTAAACTTTTTATGATTCATAAATCATACTCATTATAGATAAAATAATTTAGATTTTTATCAGACTCTTATATACTTATATTTAAATGTGTAACAATTACTTATGTACGTAATTATTATTTTTGGTAATGCATAATTTTATATTGTAGCCACGATATTCATAGTTTGTTTGAAAATAATATTTAAAATAAAAATATGAGAAAAAATTAAGATATTATTTATTCAAATAGCCTACATAAACACTGACTCCAGATTATTAAATATATAATTTATAATTATTATTATATCCAGATTACAAAACTAATGCATTGCAGTACATTATTATTTTTAGTACTTGAATTTGAAATTTCTGGATAGTTGATTCCCGGCTTACGTGTTTAGCTTAATTCATTCGGTGACACTGGTTTCGTGGCATGAAGTTGCACAGCACTGTAAGATATTCGATACTAGTTTTGTATGCTGTTCACAAGTAATTGAAATTTACACTAAAATAATATTAGGTAAGTTGAGATAAGCATAAATTTATACCAACAATTAATTTAATGATTTTGTTTTTTATTCGAATCGGTTAGGTTTAAGAAAAAAAACTATAGCAGTCTTGTTAAATTAAAATGGCAAATAATTATGTTCTAAATACTGCTGCGGGTGTTTTAGAACTAATAATTATTCTCGAGGTAAATCGAATGGTAATTTTCGAGGAACTTGGTCACATAAAAATATGACATAGTGACGTAGATGTTAAAAGAATATATAAAAAAATAAAATAACTTAAAAATTAATATAGAACAACAAAATTTAAATTTGTATTATCAACTTTCAGAAACTGTTTATTCACAACATTTTGATAAATAGAGATAAGATTTTTGATCCACAGCATTATCATAAACTATACCGCCATATGAAAAAAAAAACAACTATATGAATATGTATTCGCCCCTCGCCCCCCTTTAAATCCGCCCATGCTTTCATATTAATAACATATTAAATAAGATATTCAATATATTCTTTTAGTTAATCTTCAACTCAATCAATTTATTTTTAAATCATTAAGTATTAATTTAAATAAAATATAGGTTCTTGGCTAATTATTAAATATAATTATATTTAAATACCTATTTATAATACAATTTATGAAATAACAAATATAAGTTTTATTATTGTAAGGTTTAATAATAACATTTATGCACGCTGAGACCAGCTATAAACTTTTGTAAACAAATATAAATTAATATAATAAAGCATTTTCTAATTTGCTGATGTTATTGGCAAATCTCTTCAATTGTATATGATGTTATGTATGTTAAAATACACATTAATTTTTGTCAGTTCCGTTTATATAAGCTAATAGGCTAATGGCATTGGCGTAGCTAGGATTTTCTGAAGGGGGGTGTTAATTATAATTATTAAATATTATATATAATACGTACAAACTAAAACTTTTATTTTAATTAATTAATATGTATACATAATGTCTGTAATAGAGATGTAATGTATATTCGAATTCGGATAGCTTTACCATAATTATTCGAATATCTGACTATTCGAATATCAGTATTCGATGCTATAATACCTATTATTATTAAACGTTTTGTGTTGCACGAAAACGTAAACGAATAATTTTCGTCACGTATTGTCGCAATCGCGATAATGTTAACCTGTATATATGTAATTAGTATTGTGCATTATTTTATATTTCATATTGTATTATCGATTTACCTATATTCCTATAATAATGTAATATATGATACGGCTCAAGGGGGGTGTCATATCTACCAAACACCCCCCCTTGTATACGTCACTGGCTAATGACTATTTTATTCTACAATTTATATTCAATATTTTTATACTTAGAAGAATTATGATGTAAGATTTTATCTACCTAGCCGCCAAAAAAATCAGGAGGAGCAGCTAATATCCTTGAACACGAGCGTCTCACCACAGCAATGCACAGTTGGCTGCGTGCGCGTGCAGCTTTCCATATCCATAGATAATAGAAGAATGGATAGGCCATTACAGCTTATCACACGGGAATAAATATTTATTTTGAGGTTACAAGGGGTCTTATCAATTATCAAAATGTCAAATTGTAAATTTAAAAAATCAATAACTATAATAGGTGTTTTTTATACTCAGTTCTTTTCGTTATTCATCATATTTTATATTTAATGTTAATTTTTAATATTAATATTGAATAGCAAAATCATACTTATATTTACTCATAATTTATAATTAAAATGATATTACCTATGTCGAATCTTAAATAAATGTATAAATCACAATTTTGATCCATAAGTCGATATAATGACAATATTTAATACACATTATTTACTCATGACTAAAATGAATAAGCTTTGTTAACTTAGCTCGGGTACGTTTTTTCCTTAATATTGTTATCATTTATTTTTCTAATTTCGTGAAAAATACGAATGTCAACATATTTATTGATTGTTAAATTTATTAAATTATCTCTGTGCATATGCTTATTTAAAAATGATTCTTGTCCTGTGCAATATGGAATTGTTTCTTTTCCTCCTTTATAAATGTTCGCTTTAACTTTGTTAATTAAAAATTGTTTGTTCTATTATCTATGGTTTTACAGGTAGAGACATGATATTGAAAGAAAAGTATCGATACTTTCACTTGGTAACGAATGGAATGAAAATAACGAAACGTAACGACCGGTATGAGTATCGAAAAAAAAAATATTGATCCTTTTACTTAGTTCTATCATCGTAACAAATATAATATTGAGAGATAGGTTGCGCCTGGGTTTGGAAGAATTAGCCGATGTTTGGAAAACACCGTTACTAGGGGACACCGCGTAGAGGTTTCTTCCTTGTCCCCCTTATGCAACACATTATCACATGCACAGCTTGCTCCCAAACCTGCACCCCAGAAGACATTCACAAAGGCACAAGCCAAGGAATTAACGTAGCCCGCATCTGGGCAGAAATAATATAAATCCACCATTAACGTACCTTTCTATTTTACCTTATTTATTAATATTGTGAAATGTTTATTTTAAAGTTAATTTTATTTATCTATTTGTTTTTTAATTTTTTTAATTTGTTTAACAACTTATATCATTATGATTATTACTGTTACACTATGCGCTTGACACGAATAAAAAAAAAACAAATATAATTAAAATATTGATAACAATAAAATATGAAAACGACCTATATGAACAAGTATCAAATGAAAAATTATTTTTATATTTTAAAGTTTTCTTTCTCCAAGTTAAGAATGAATTCAAAATGTTAGTATATCTTAAAATATGCCATTTTACTAATATTTAATTAAAACTAGTTATGGTTCATGAACCACAGATAAAAATGCTGTATGTAAACAAATTTTTAATTGTTTCCGTCAGGTACCTATATCATTATTTGTAATTTATATTTCATCTAATCAGTATATAAATCAGTAAATCAAAACATATTGTATATTTTGTGCAATACTTTATACTATTTCCATGGCTAAAAATGAACTCAGTATACATAATTTATGATAAAAAGGTTTATTATAAACCTATTGACACTATTGTATTGTGGACTGTAGTTTCTGGTTCATGGAAATAACAAATACAGTCGTATAAAGTATAGACTTTAGTATGATGACCGAATTTTATAAACAAATTCTCTACCATGCGCGCAAATAATTTTTCTAGAAAAGAATTATTCTTTGATACAATTCGACCATTCGAGTACTTTTGATTTTTGAACCATTATGGCGGTTAATAAATGATTTAATGCTATACATTCGATACCAGTATTTTTTTATCGACACAAATAAGTTGTGAGATATATTTAAAAACAATACTGTGTAGGGTAATTTTTCACAAGAATATTATCAGTCACTATAATTAAAAAAAAAAAAAGTACTAACCAATTTACTGGTTGCTTATCTTCGATTGATATTTTATTAAAAAAAAAAAAAATACTAGGAAGAATGATGATTATTTAAAGTATTCTTCACCACTAAATGCTTTAATCAAAATTATATGGACTCATAATCCTACCGTTGACTCATGTAATGCTTTAACATTTTTAAGAACAATAAGTGAAGTAAGAATGTTTTATAATTTATAAATGTCTTTTACTCAAAACAGAAATTGTTTTATTTATATCTTATTTTATGTTGTTTAAGAAAGTTGGCTAAACCCTATTTGATAAAAGAAAAATATATTTTCGTGGTTTTTTCAAATAAACCAATGAAAACAGCGTATTTGTATACGACGATGGGGAACTAACTCAGAGGTTCCCAACCAGAGTGACACGGCACTCTAAGGTACCACGATATAAAATTTAGGGTGCGGCAAAAATATTTGAAATATATATTTATTTTTAAGCGCCTTCATGAAAAATATAGTACTGTGAGTAATAAAACAGACTATACTCTATGTCTATAGTATAAAAACTATTGTGTATAGTTAATTAGGTATAAAAAATATAATTTAATGAATTAATTATTAAAACATATAATTTTTACATAGTAATACTGAAATGTTCAATTTATTTTAATTTTCATACTGGTTCGATTGCTATCGATTTGATGTGAACTGTTTTAGAGTTATTTACAGTCAAATACTTGTTACTTTGTCTTATCTTTATTATTTATTAATGCTAAATAAAACCGAAGTTACAAAATATAAATTTAAATATATGATATATTAGTATTGTGTATTCAGTATAAACTATAGAGTATAAATTGGCTATAGGGCTATAGGGTGCCTCCAAATTTTTAAAAAATAATAAAGGGTGTCGTGAGTCAAAAAAAGTTGGGAACCTCCGCTCTAGCCGGTTTGGTAATACGCGCCCGGAGAATATAAAAATTATGTCATAATTTTAAACATTATTATGTACTGAAAAAATATAAATAAATGTATTAAAAACATTATATTTAAATTGTTAATAAAAATGAATACTTTAATAACAAAAGAAAAAATGTAAAGGGGTCTAGAGATTACTCATGCAGTTAAAACACAAAAATATATTTAATAATAAAAAACAAATACCAATTCAAATAAATTGAAATTTAATTTATAAATTTAGAATATTAATAATTTAACTAAATATAGAAAGGAGAAAAATTGATTTATGTAATGGAAAAATATTATTTACATAACAAAGAATACTTAATTATTTTAAGTAAAATAAGGTTATTTAATGGATTAAATATAAAAAAAAATTAAGTCGAAGCTTAAAAACATAAATTTGATCAATTTTGTTATAATTAAAGTTGTTATTCAAAATAAAAACAACGTACCGTTATTCCTGGGAGTAAGTAGATAGGTAATTGTCACTAGTAAGTTTATTTCACTTTTAATCGGCTCCTAAATTTCGGCTGTTTACTCTAATAAAAAGAAAAAGAAATAATAATTTATTTTTTTTATTTTATTAGCATTAATATATATAATGGACAAGAATTATAAAAAAACATAATTTGTAAGAACGACAATTATTAACAAACGTGAATAGAATAAGACAAGTAATATTAGACATAGATTATCTGTCTCATCATTGCTCCCATCACAGTAGGGCGCCAAAAAATATTATTTAAATTTAAATGTTTTTTATTTACAAAAATTTATTTTAACACATTAACCATGGAATACTATGATCTGTTAGGTTGTAATAGTTTATATACCCTCTCATTTAAGTTTAAAACGATTTTTCCTAAAACTATTAGGCTATAGCTTATATTAGGATATAACAATGTATTGTTATTTGAAATATGAATTAAATATTAAAAATTGTGTCTTATAACAATAAATAATATTTATAAATACTTGTCAATCGCCATAAAAGAAATACGTTTAAAAAA